GTGTTTCAAAATCCTCAGTCTGAGGATTTAAATGTTTGTTTAAAGGATAAATTATGCCCTTTTTAGTGCCTAATTCTCACTTCCAATATGAGGCCACTTATGCAAATGGAAAATGAACCAGACATTTAATAAGTCTGCATAAAGTCAACAGTCTGGTACAATTGATCTGTGCAAGTCTGGTTTCTACAAGAAAGCTGGATCATCTTGGCTCCGTGACCTTTTTAAGGACACACACCAGTGTTGGAAGAAAGCCTTCATATCAAAATTAGAAAAAAATAAACCAAACCAAGCAACAAAAAGCCCCATAGACTCAAGGGAGAAAAGCACTTGGTTTCACAAAGTGAGAAGTGCCAATACCTTAAGGGTAGAACAACCCTTCCTGGAACACTCCTCACCGAAAGCAGGAGACATGCTAATCCACGAGGCAACATTTCACAGCATACACGTCAATTCACTGCTGAGCCCTTTAACACATTCCATGTAAAAGGAAAGAATTGCTGTCCTAAAACAATCTGTGTAAATCTGTCACATACTAGCCATTGAATGGATGCGCAGTGAAACTGAATGTGCAACTAGGATTAATACTAGCCAGAAGTTACTGCAATTTAGGAAGAAATGGACACCTATATAAGCCTGGTTATTGCAGAGTCTAAAGATCTCACAAATTGTTTATCTTTGAAATATCTCTGGTGAACACGGAGGTGCTACTATGCAGCCTTATGGATACTGTAGCAGAGCAGAAACAGAATTTGAGTTTCCCAGACTTTTGGATACTGTCCACAGCACTACATAATATTCACAGAATTTTCAGAGTTGGAAGGGACCTCTAGAGATCATCTAGTCCAACTCCCAAACTCTAGTCCAATTCCCTCCAAAATAGTTGAAAATGTACATGGATAAAAGTAGGACTATTGCTACTCACGATCTTAATTTAAAATCATGTCAATAACCTATAAAGTATGCACATATTAAAATAGAAACTGATATACTTCCAGCCAATTCTGATTCCACAAGTATAGTTTTACAGGTTATTCTAAAAGCAAATTAGAACAAAAACATGGCTCTTCAGTAATGATATCAAGCAATGGGCAAAAATTCGAAGATAACGTGCACGGAACAACTGATCTACTAGAAAGAAAGTTTGGAAAGCAATGAATAAGAAAGCAGGATTAAGTATTACTCAGGGAAAATATTAACAAGCATGCAAAACATAAATCCTGTATTACCTAAATTGGCAGACCAGAGTAGAATTTTCAAAGGATGTTCACTCCTTTGAAAACCCTTTTACTTGGTAAAAACACTACACATTAGTAATTAACAACATGACAACTAGGTAATAGATGACAGCATTGCCATTTAGCAACAGTGTATGCACAAGATATTTCTTCATTTACTTGGTCCATGTCAAAGAAGATTTTTTTAGTTCTATTTATATTAAAGACCGTAAGACTCAAATTCTGCTGATATTTAAGCTGATTGGATTTTTATGCTTAAATCAAATCATGTACATGAACTATTCCAGGGTTGGCATTTAATAGCATTTTACATGGTTATATTGTACATATTCGCATTGAGATTCAACTGTTGCAAAGAAGTGGCAAAACTACTGATCACACACTTCACTCAGAAGCTTAACTATACCAAGCACAAAAACCAAATACTTCTTGTAACTGAAGAGAGAAAGCGGCATGCAAAATTTTCTCTGGCAAAGCTGGAATTGTCAGAAGTGAAAAATCCATAGTAACACGGTTTTTCTTTGCAGGGTGAGAATTTTCTTCTTCTTCTCCATTAGGGCGCATAGCATGAGCAGAGTGCCTTCTGAGAAGCTTCTCTCTCTGCCACACGAAGGCATGTCAGAGTCAAGGGGAAAAAGTTAACATGTTGTGACTTGCACAACAAGATCTAAGAAAATGAAATGTGATCAATATCAACACAAGCTCTAGAAAGACATGACTGAATACCTCATAGCTACTGCAGCCAGAGCTCCTAATTTGTAACAGCTTTAAAGTGAAATGATTTAGAAAAGTCAAACTAACATAAAAGAAGTCACCTAGAGAAAGCACAGCAACTGGTTTTTACACATTTTAAAGATGCTACATATATGGCGTATAGAACAGGATGGAGTGAAGGCCTCCACAAAATCAAAGAAGCTGTCCTAACTAGAATTCAGTGCTCAAGCGAAATTCAATGCGCTTCATCTAGTACCTTTCTCTAGCAAGGGAAACAACTACTGCTTGTTTACGTCTCTACATTGAAAATCTTTTTCTATTTTCTGCAAAACAGCTTAATAAATGCAATGCAAAAGGAGTTCATATGATAATTATTTTGCAAAAGAAAGAACTTATGTAGAATTCTGCTCTAGAGTTATTCTAGAAAGCCCATTCCCAATGGAGATTACGGAAGTTAACTCTTATGAGAATTAAGATGAAATTTCAGGAATACTCTTCGGGTTCTTTATTTTGATTTTGGTTTTTTACCTTGTCAAGGGAATTGCTCTTGTCACTTTGTCTTTCTGGGAGACTGTTTCCTGAGTCTGTGCTTATAAGAGAGCCTCTTGAGTCAGCGTTCCTCACGCTATTGATATTTGGAGTTGATGTGGTGTATGGGGAAGCTAAAAAAAAAGCCCAAAGCAATATAAACATCTCAAACAACACATACACTGAAAAAAGAGTCCACAGTTTAGTCAGACTTCTAAAACCACCATATATGTGTATATATTTTTAAGAAGGCAAATAATTCATTCAATTTACTTTTAATGAAGACAAACTTATTCTAGAGTTTCAGCAAAGTATATATGTATGTACATATACACAGATTTATGTGCAACTACATACACTTACACATAAAACCATGTAGCAATACATACACACTTATATGAAGAAGCATGTATATTTAAAAAAATCCCTCTTCCCTATTTTTATCTGGTTTTGTTCTCATTTTAATTCACTAGTAAGTGACACAACTAATTACAGCAGACAACAACAAAAATAAAAACACATTATAAAGCCAGACAGGAGGATGCCCACAGGTGTGCGCAAGCAGCACTCCACTTCGAGGTGATCCCTAACATCATGTACAATCATGGATTATGGCATTCTTGCCATAAGTGACTACAGCTGGTCTTATCTCCTGTTTCTCTGCAGCAAGCAAAAACTATCACCTTTGACACGGAAAAAACAAATCGGCTCTCTCCAAGAAACAGCTTTAGTTTCAAATAGAAAAGCAAAACCAAAAAGATCCCAAAAGAAAGATTTCATGTACAGGCTGTGAATTCTGGCCCACGCAGAACTGCTAATTGCATTAGGGTTCTGTTAATTAAAGCAGCAATAACATTCAAGTATACATGCACAGAGCAAACACAGTTGAACACAACAATTATTTCTGGTAACAAAGAAAAAAGGAAACTGGTCCTTTTAAAAATTATTTTATTTTTTAAGTGCTTACCAATGCCAGAGATAACACCAAACAGATCTTTAGGAAGATTGTTATCCAATGTGTTTCCTGATTTTTGTGGTGTTACTAGCTGACTTGCAGTTGGCAAATTAAGTGCATCATCCTTTGCACTCTGTTTGGAAAAGAGAGGAAAATGAGATTATTGTTTTCCAACATTATGGATTTAGTGAATACGACATACTTTACCTTTGAGACCAGTATTTGGTATACATTTGTTTCTTAAATTTTAATTTTTATTAAATATGCTCAAAAAGATGGAATGAGATGTTCAGGTATTTACACAAGCTTGGGACAGCCTAAAACTTAATATACCTCAGGAAACATTGAAGAACTAACTTAATATTCCATTGAATTTTAAACACTATAAAACAAATATTGCCAAAAGACCCAAACATTTGTCTTGTTGGAAGGGTATCATGAATTTCTTTCTTAATACCAAATGGAACACAGCAAGATATGGACAAAAATAAAATACATTAATAATTAAATCTTCAATTCAATAATTGTATGCAACTATAATACAGCAATACAAATCTTCACAAATTCCATTTGAATTCATTCTCCTGTAGCCCTCTTACACTACAGCTGTTCCAAGAGCACGCTCCTTTATGGTTAAAAATCATTCCCTAATTTCTAGAAAATTAACCTTTTTTTTTTTGTGGTCCATTTAATTCATTTATGTTGGACTGAACTGGAAAATAAGCTTTAAAAAAAAAAAAATCTACCACCAATATGCAATTCTTTCTGCTGAACAGTAACAGCAACTACTGGATTTATTGGGATTTTAGCAAACTAATTCTCTATGTGTTAGATGTCAGAGGAATATCCTCTTGCATAGAAATGAAGTGTGTGCAAGTGCCTCCAGTGCCAGGATCCACAAGAACAGAGGCAAACTGTTTATAGAAACTAGCAGGCAGACTGAAGAGAAGCGTATTTTTTGAGTAAAAAACAGAGACAATTTAATGAAATCTCCTCTCACAAAAAAATGTACCAAAACTGGTTAACAGACACAAAAGGAAGGAACTGTAGAAACAACTGGTATTTTTTACTTCAAATACACTGTTCCTTCAGCTTCTTTGTCTGCTCTTCTTAAAACACTCAAAAAGATGCAGTAGGTCCAATCCTGTGTGGTCTATAGTTTGTATCAAAATACAGGCACACGCACCAGAGATACAGAAAAGGAGAGATGTTACATGGCAGTATAATCACATGGCATTAGAATGATGCTGTGGCAATCTCTGTGGCCTAGCATCCTTGCAATCTCCAAAAATCTTCACAGGTTCAAGTAAAGATCGATAAAGGCACTGTAACCTGTATGTAGGACCACACTAGCCAGTTATCATGTTAGGTGTAACTTAGCTGGACCAGAGAAGCTGCAGCCAAAATCGTGAAGGTTTGCTAAGCTTTTAATTTTATAATTTTCCGCTAGACTTCGAGCAACCTGGCCTAGTGGAAGGTGTCCCTGGTGGAACTAGGTGATCTTTAAGGTCCCTTCCAACTCTAACCATTCTATGATTCCATAAAAAGCAAGGAGAAAACCTTGCAGAATTCTGAAGCTTATGAAACTCTGTTTGTGAGAAGTACGGTGTTCCATATACACGTTACTATTAAATTATGATAAAAATAATTCAGAATATCAAATAGAAATGGTCACTCACATTGCTGGAAGGGTTAACAGGAAATGGAGACACATCTTTAACATTGATTCGCTGAACATTTTCTATGAGCAGTCCGAAGAGCGGCAAATACATAGTGGCTATTCTTGCTTGATGGCTCTAAATAGAGTTTAACAGTTCATTAACAAATTACAGATTTAATTTTTAATCACCAATTTTTTTAAGCTAGTCACTCCTAAGTTACAAAAATTGAACATTTATTAAATATTTGCCAAGCCAGAGCCCACGTTCATAAGTTCATAAATGGCAAAACGAGTGATCATCTCTGTATTTAATTCTAATTCACAAAAGGAAAGTAAATTTTATTTACTGTTTCAGTACAATGCAGCAAAAAAAACCCCTAAATTAATATGATTTTATCTAAGACTAACCAATAAATTAATATTATGTTAGCTTGATAAATTAATGATATCTTCCATTAAAATTTTATGGACTCTCCACAGCACAACTGAAGTTAAAGTCAGGAAAATTAAAAATCACTCAAAATTTACTACTATGACTTGTAGCTTTCTCATATTTATTTTACAAATAATACATGATGGAAGGACAGCTGCCAAATATTAAAAGTTAATTTTTAATGAAAATAAGAGCTTTAAAAGCATTTGTAAAAATCTGATTACTTTAAGAACAACAGTTAGATTACACTGTGCTAAAATGTAATAAACACACGTAATTATGTTAAAAGGTGCTTTGTGTTTTCGTTTTGTAAAAATATGGGATTTGCAGATTGATTTTGATAAAATTTTCATACATATTTTCATTACAGTCTGAACAGAAATAGCATTGCTGCAAATTAACAAGTTTTTTGTGAAAGAAATGTTTCCACACTTCATCTTTATTATTTTGCACTACCAAAATAGCAATACACTTACCCTGGAAGCATATCTATCATCAAAAGAATGCTTTATCATCAAATTCTTGAGTACACTGATAGCAATCTGCCTCACGTCTCTGAACTCTTGTAGTGCATTGCCCACCTCCCTTAGAAGCAGTCCCACTAGGAAGTGATTTTTACAGAACTCATCAGTTAATGAATAGTCCAGGTGAAGGTCTGGAAGTAAAGTACAAGCTCTGTGTAAGGAATGGTACTACTTAAATCAATTTATCAATTAATTTAAGGCTGAACTAAAATGTTTCCAACATTATTGACCAATTCATATATATTCATACATATATAATATTTAATCATAGTTATTAATATATACTCAGCCCAATTCACTGCATAATGATGCATTTATTAAACAGACAATGACAATGTATATTCAATCAACAGAACATGATTAAATCTAAATATGTCATTTTGAAAAAAAAATTTATATACTGTCCAATATTCAAAAGTGTTCCTATTAAATTTACCTGGAGCAGCCTTTTATAGCTCCAAATTCCAATTTTAAATCTATGCTCAGGTACTGAAAACACATATAGTGCAAAAAGGTTGTGCAAATTCTATCTTTCAGGAATTTAGTTGTATGGTACAAGTAGAATTTAACTTTTAGTCTGTGGTTCAGTCCTAGGTTAGTAAATTTAAAGGACTGCAGGCAAAACATGGATTAAGAAGTTTTAGATTTCTGTACTGCACTATTAAGTTCCTTCTTCACTACCTTACACATGTATCTATTACGAATATAGACTATAAAGCCTGCTAAAAACTGTGACCTTGGTTAATTGATTTTCTCTTAGAAAATACTCCTAAAAATTTGCAGTGTGTAGTAAAAGTGTAATGAAGAGACTGCAATTGCAACACGCATGACCAAATTAAGCAATTTCATCTCCATTTATCACACAATAGTATTTAAACAACATAACTTATATGAATGTACGGAAATCAGACCTGCATTGTAATACAGTAGACAATTTTTCTGCTACAATTAAACAATACTATATTTTCAGAAATATTTATATAGTCAGTGTTAATGGCAATAGAATTGGAATTCAAGAACATTGTATTTGGAGATTTGCTCTTAACTCACTGCAATGAAATTTTATTTCATAAAGTATTTCTAGTAGTAGCTAACTGTAAATACCTATCCTAAGCCCCATATAGATTATAGATATTATATAAACAGACACACACACACAAACTCAGAACATTTGACACAGCAAAGTCAAACTGCTCCCCTTTAGAAGTATGTTTTGTGTAATAAAATAATCCAGTTCAATTATGTACTGAATATGACAGCCGAAGAGAAACTTTAGCTTGAAGATCTTGTTTATTAGAATATATATATGTGTGTAAAATTTTGGCTGAGAAGGTGTTCAAGAGTTTCTCATACTCACAGTCATTGTTCAATACAGTAATCAAGAAACAGATGCTAATCTCAAAGCACTTTAATTTTTCAAAGGGTTCTCCCAATATGAGAGACCATTAAGTCAGAGAGAAACACAGAAAAAACAGCACAGATGTTCTACAGGCCTTCTTGTAACTGAATTAAGAGCCAACCACGTCACCCAAGATCTCTTTTTCTTGATATGGCAAAACAGAGCCAGAAACACTTCTGATAAAGGTCTTCTTTCCTGGCCAAGCTCCTAATTCACCAGGGAGCATTATTTTACGCTGTTCTTTATCGTGTAATCAGAAACACTATTTTTTCTAGTTTTGCTCTTTTCTTAGGTCCCCCAAAACAGACAACTCATAGTCCCTTTTCTGTGGAAATATTTATGCAGTGTTACTATCCAAGACACTCCTGAAGGCTGAAAAAGCCAAAGACAGAAACGAGTTCTACACAGCTGTCCATCTCTTAGTCCCAAATCTTGTTCTGTCACCTTGATGAAAGCTTTAATTAGTTACACTCAACTTTACTTAGCCAACAGAGTCTGCTAAATAAATATTTCAGAAAATATAACCTAATCTACAAAAATACAAATGGTTTACTTGTTACTTGTTAAAGCACCTTCCTCACCTCTGCTTATTGATGTCTGCTATAGTTCGGTGCCTGGAAGAAATGAATAATGTCTTCACAGCCACAAACGCAATGGCTACCATACTCTTTGTTTTGGCACAATGTTAGATGTACCAGGAGCCCAACTGGGCTAAACAGAGCATTCATGATTGAGCTCCAGTGCAAAAGGAAAAAAGAAGAAAAAAAGAGCAAATAAAAAGATGCACATGAGGTGGAAGCAAAAACAAGCAACAAAAGAGGAATATAGAAGCATTGATCAAGTATGCAGAGATAGTGCCAGGAAAGCCAAAGCTCAGCTACAGCTGAAACTGGTAATGGACATCAATGGCAATAAGAACGGCTTCTGCCACTGCATTAGCATTAAAAGCCTGAATAAGGAAACCACAGGATATTTGCTGAATAGGAACTGTGATTTAAGGACAGTGGACTCGGGTAAGGCTGAAGTACTCCATACCTTTGTTACCTTATCCTTCACTGCCATAGTTCCCAGGCCTTAAGCGTCTAGAGACTACCTTCAAGAAAATTATCAGTAGTGGATCAGGTCAGGGATCTGACAAGAGACCTTCAGCCATGCAAATGTGCAGCACCAGATGAGATGCTGAGAGAGACAGCTGATATCATTGGAAGACGACTCACTATCACCTTTGTTCAGCCATAGTGATCAGGGGTTTCCCATAATTGGGACCTTGCAGTGACTGAAGGTAGACATTGCACACATCTTCAAAAATGGGAAAAATAATCCAGGTAACTACAGGTGTCGCTTTGGTCCTTGGAAAAGTCCTCTTGGAAGCCATTTTTCAGCAAGTGAAGAAGAGTGTGACCAGGAATGGTCAGGACAGATTTACCCAGGATAAACCATGCTTTACCCAGGATAAACCATGCTTGACTGACATGTGTTCTACAATGAACTCACTAGATCTGTGGATAAGGGGAGAATAGCAGATGTCCACATGGTCATTGTATCCAAACTGAGACATTACAGTCTAAGTGAATAGACACCTAAATGTGCGAACAAACTAGGTGGATCATTTGGCTCAAAGGTTGATGGTTAATGGTTTGTACTCTACTTGGAGACCAGCAACAAGAGGAGTTTCCCAGGGTCTGTCCTGCTTAATACTACTTCATCAATGACCTGAAAGAGATGGAATGCACCCTCATCAAGTTTGTGGATGGGGTACAGTCCATATTCTCAAAGGCAGGGCTGCATTTGAGAAGAATCTGGATTCTACAGGAATGGGTCAACAGAAACGTTAATTGAATTCAACAAGGACAAATGCAAAATTCTGCACCTGGGATGGATGAACTTCCTGCAATGGTACCAGCTGTGGAATGCCTTAGCTTGGGAGCAGCTCTGCTGAAAAACACCTAGGGGCCCAGGTGGACAGTAGCTTCAACAGGTGTTAGCACAGCATTCTGGCAACAACGAAGACTAACAGCATACTGGGCTGTATCAACAGGATCATAGCCAATTTATCAAGGGAAGTGTTTATTCCCCTTTATTTGGCATTTGTTAGACATATCTGTAATACTGTGTGTAGTATTTGGGCCTTCTAGTAGAAGGAAGGTCTTAACTTCAGTGAGACCAGCGAAGGACCACCAAGGTAGTTAGAGGGCTGGAACACATGCCCTGTCAGGAGAAACTGAGCTTGTTCCATCTGGAGAAAGGAAGGCTTGAGGTGACCTGAGCAGGAGGTTGGACTACAGACCTACTGAAGTCCCTTTTAACCTTAATGAGTATATGAAAAAAAGTAAAAGTACACCAAACCTCACACTGCCCACAGGAGTGTTGCAAGCTTCTGCAGCTAGTGAATTAAAAGCTAACTCATGAAAAAATGCAAATTTAATAATCATAGCAGGAAAGGGAGGAAGAGTCAAGGATGTAGTTTACCATATCTTTCAATGACTACATATTTTGGATAGATTACTCTGCTGCCTAAACTATTCTTTTAAGTTCAAATGAAAGGATTACAACTTTAGGCTTCTGTCTAACACTTCTGAGGTTTCCACCATCTCATAGTCCTGAGGTTACACAGTCTACACGCATAATAATAAAAAGGTGATGTCTAACAAATATACCACAGACTTCTTCGGAAGAATTTACCTTGGTATCTCTGAACTCTGCCTTTTCCAAATGGCATTGGTAGATTCAAAGGTATGTAGTGCTCATGATTACAGACTACACGAAGAAATTCAAATTTGAACTCGAAAAGAGTCTGCAAAAATAATTTTAAAGTATAAATTAAACAACTGATGCAGTGATTTGAATAACACATTAAAAGCAGCTTTCTGACACAAAAGGGTGATTACTCTCAGTCTTGCGGCGTAAGGGATATAGACTTGTCAAAGTTCCTTATGTCAGTATAAAATAATTCCAGCATAATTCATACTTGATAACTGGATATAGTTCTATTTACTGTTCCCATTGTTCAAACTTATTTAAATTTACTAGCATATTACACATTGATGTAAGAAAAGTTCTGACCCACAGAAGAAATTCTTCAGACATCTGGTACCTGCGTTCACCACCACAGTAAATGTACAGAAGCTTATCAGATATCTGCTCTTCCAACTTTAACCTTTCTCACATTCAGGCTTAAAATTTCTGTTAGTGTTGTACCCCCACCCCGCACCACTTTCACAATACACACACTCTAGGGTGAAGTTGCCCCTGAAGATGGGAATCAAAATATGAAAAAGTGATTTGATGGGAAAAAAATGGCCCAGGCACAGCACAGGGAGTTTGAATGTAACTGGGAAGAAGTCTGAGGAATTAATGCAGGGCTTTATCCACATGCATCAAGAAGAGGCAGCTCCTAAAAACAGTTTGTTTAAAAACATTGAGTACCTTCGGATCTCCTGGGGCAAAGCAGCTGATGTAGTTATTGATTTGCTTGAAAACAAAGCCTCTATCCATAAAAGTAAAACACCTCTGGCGAAAACAAGCAAAACCAAGATAGAAATGATTTAGTACTGTCTCAGTGCTCAGTAATTATATTTCTGTATTTAACAAGTTTATTTTCCAAACACATCATTGATATTTCAATTTGAATGTAAAAAACAGTAAAACAATCAGACTAAATACATGAATACCAGATTTTCCCTTAGAGTGCAGAATGTAAACAAACTGTAAATAAAAAGCAGTGTGAAGAGAAGTCTATCTTGACAGAAATGAAAATGACATGCCACCAGCAGCTTTATCTACCATTTTATTTTCCATCCTTTTTTCTCCCTACTGGATCTTATTGGCTGAAAAAGGAAAGACACTGAAAGTCTGTCTACATAAAATGCATGCAAATAAAACACTCCTCAAGGTATGAAGCTGTTGTAGAATTAGAAGGTAAGCTAGATAATATTTTTAAAGGAAAAAAATAGAAAGTTCAATATACATTTTGGATAAAACATAAATTCATTTAAAAAAAAAAAATCAAACTTTTGAACAGATGTCTTCTTGATTACAGAAGACACAAATTATACTTCAATGCATTTTAACTTGGACATAGAATTATACCTAAAAAGCATTATGCATATTCAGTTTTATATGAGTTGGCCTTAACATTCTTTAAAATCCATGAAGAAGCAGAATTATTGGGGAAAAAAAAAAAACAGAGAGAACAAGTCACTTGTGTACCTACTTTTATAAAGGCAGCAAGGCTATGGTTTGCATTTTTTGAAGCCTCTGGATTGTCTCTGTACTTCTGAGTGATGTGTGGCATTAGCATATTAACAACTGTTTCAACCGCATGATGAAAGGAAGCGGAAAATCTCTGGTTTCGCAACAGCTAGAAACAAATTCAGATACAATATTTAATATAGTTTATAACACCAAAATAGATCAGAAAACTTACTTTAGATGAGATATAGGTAACCTGGCAGGGAAAGGGCAGACAAAGAAAGGTTTCAAATTTTCTCATTTCTCAATTAAAGTAACGTTTCTTTAAATTCAAGATTTTCCTGAACTTTCTAGACTGAGGGGTAAAAAAGCATTTGGTTAAAAGAGAATATTACAACGTGTACTAACATCTGTTACTAAAATTCAAGCAAGGCAGTCTTTGATGACAAAACATATGTATAAGTTTGTAAGTGTAATGCATTAATATTTTTCTATACTACAATAAACTTGCTGACAGAAGCCAAGGATAAAAGGTAAGCATTTCATTTTATCTATCTTCCTTTGCAAAGCAGACACCAGCTGGTTCACATATAGTAACTGCATTATCAGACTCTCTTTTCTGTCTTGTAAAAAAACCCAGTTTTTGCTGTTCTGCAACAATCTTCTTAGTAACTCCTTTGCCTTTTTCCATTGTGGAAATTCTCATCCATGCTTCTTTCTCTTGCTCATCAGTGACTTCAAATCTCAGACTTCAGAATCTTATTCTCCATGTTTTTAAGTTTCCACAATCATAACTCTTTCCCCCTGCTTTTAGGTAGTTTGCCTGTTAGCTTAAAAGATTTCCTCTGTGTTCACAATTTCCTCCTTTCCACTCACCATCTATACTATCTTCATCAATGATTTTGTACATTCTGACCCATATTGGTCAATAAGTTCTCTTCAGCTTTTTGGCATGCAGAACCTCTTTTATTTCTCTACATCTTACAATCTTTAATAAAGATTCTGTCTTTTGTCTGAAGGGACTTAACGACGGGTGGTGTGAGGCTGAAGAAGTTGATGTTGACGAAAACTGTTTCAAATGTACAGTCATTACGTCTTTTCTTTCTGAAAACTGAAGTCAAAACATCCCAAGTGCTCTGAATACTTTTTTATTTAAATAAGTTTTTTTAACTATATTGAATGCAACATTCCTAGGCAGAACAAGTCATTGTCAAGTCCCTGCACAGATCAATGATTACACAATTTGTTCCCTTTGTGTTTCAACTGTGCTTCAAAGTCTTTAGTTGTGTTTTTTAAAAAAAAAATAGAAATTGAGGTTGAAACAGATCCCTGTATAAATAGCAACAGTACTCATTCATGAAATAACAATTAAAAATTAAAAATTCTGTTGGTGGGTATGCCAGTCAGTGTCCTACAATATTGTTGTAACAGCCTTTGTTGGACAGTTATTAAATATACTAAAAGACACTACAAAATTTTTCCATAGAAATAGTTTTGCTGCACTTAGAAATGTATCTGTTTATCAGATCTCACAAGTAGGAAACATCTGAATGCATGTAAAATTCATTACTTTACCCAGTAAGACAGAAAAAAGCGAGCAAAATAATTTATTTGATATCTAAGGGGCTTGTAAATCAAGAAGTGATGATCAGGAATGAGGATACACGCAAGCAAGAGGTGAGTTCTGCTCCTTTTTCTTTCATGTCACAGGGAAGATGACAAAGAGGTTAGTTCTAAAAGTGGAAACATCTTTTTTAACATGAAATGTGGAGACAACAACAAAAATCTGTCATAAAAAGTCACTCTGGTAGTTTATAAACTATGAACCTTACTTCATGTTATTGCAGGGGAAGAATAAGAACAGCAGTTCAAGGTGATACAGAGGAAAGTATTAGAATCTAAAGGTGTGCGTAAAAATAATTTCTTTCCTTTGTACAACTGAACAGCTCTATTTGGGGATTGCATTTGAAGTTACTATTAAAAAGAAACAAAATATTAACCTGAAATGAATGAGTTTCCTACACAACTAGTATACCTAGCGTGCAGAACTCTCTATTGAGTGGGACATCAATAGAAGCCAGACATATATTTTTCAGTATCAAGCTTAGGGGTTTGGGGGTGGGGTTTTTGGGGCTTGGGTTTGTGGCTTTTGTGTTGTTTTGTTTTTTTTTTTCTTCTTTAGATAGAATTACTGCATGTTTCCATACCTGTAAGTCCTACAAAAACATGGCAACATTTTGGTAGTTTCAATGCTGCATAAGAAAGTCTCTGCATGAACTGTTATTATCTTAGAAAGATTTATGGCCAAAGAACCTACTGAGACTATAAAAAACCCTCACTGTGCATCCTTATTTTGTGAAATAAAATGGGGTATCTTATAGATCCAAAAGTGCCATCAGTATTTAGATCACTTTTTTTGTGATTTATCTGCTTCTTTCTGGCAACTTGGAATCAGAAATAAAATGCAACTAGCAATTAGTACTTTCTTTGAAAAGAGTTATGCTCTTTCCATGCTCAGTATTTTCTCCGCCCACCTTGTACACAACACGTGTTTACAATCATGCTGTTAAGAGGTAGAGCATAGGTAGAGCATTTCATTAAAATGAAATTATATAATTTTTAGCCTACTTAAAGAATTTTGTAAGGCAGAAAGACTACTTAAAATGAACAAGATTTTTTCAGAATTTATATGATCATACAAAACCATGTAATAGACAAAATTTGATGCAACAAGTTGATGTAAAATATCACTTAAAGAAAGGTCGTAATTCCTAGACCAATCTTCAGAAATATAAACACAGAATTGTCTCCTGCCTACATCTTTTGGTGCATTTTAATGAAAATCCTAAGCTTACTCGTAATAACCCTTAGAAATCGATCTCAGAAGACCCCAGTTTGTACAGCATGTAATTCACAGCATATAGTAAATCACAAAATGAATTGCTGTCTTTCAAGTACAGCAAATCTGAGGCCATTAGATCTCAGCTACTGGTTGTTACTACTGAAAAAAAGGACAATAATCAGTGCCTTCTCTTATAGTTACTTAAGCCATTATCTAAGAGATGGAGGTCTGAGTAATAGTTATGCCTACTTCACTTTACACTGTATTTCCATAACACGAGCTAATCAAATCAGTCTCAGGCATCTGTAACTGACACACTGTTCCTTTAATAACCTTGTTTTCCCTAAAATGAGAGTCTTATTAAATTGAATTTGTACTTCAGATGTATATGCTGGTGCTCTCCAAACATAATGTATTATTAGGATTATAGACACATTAGGCTTTGAGGAAATGAGTCAGTACAGCGCTTGTGAAGGAAATAAATAATTTAATTTTATTTTTTTTTAAATAGTCAAGAACTAGTAGTAGTGTGAATGGTAGAATACCATACTACACAAGAAATGCAGATTACATGGGAAAGGATACTGAAAACATGGACACTGGCTGAGTCATTCTGAAAAGTAAATTGCATTTGTTTTGTTTGTTTACACAGATTCCTGCTTTAAAAAAAGATGACATGCTACTGTACTTATTTTATCCACCATCTGATCTCAATTTAGAAATGTAATCCCTATTGTAAGGAAGTTATAATTAAATTAAGGAAATGGGTTTGCATGACAGCAAGTGAGTGCTTTCTTTGAAGATTTTTTTAAACCAATATGCTGTTTCCAAACTTGTGAGGATTTCTGTAGGTTTGTTAAAATCAGGAAAAACTACATAAACTTTGTTTCGCCCAGCAAAAACTGCACGTTGTTGTTCTTCAGAGAATCACCTACCAAATCCAATAGAAAACACCCTCAAGCTATACAAGTTTCACACACACCATGTTTTGAAAATGTTGGCCAGATTACATTCTGTAATAAGAAAAACTGTATCTTGTCACAGAGCTGAATACTGTAAAATACTGTACTGTCAGATAAGCACCAAAAGCAACAAAAATTCTTTCAATTTTTCAATATAATTTTTAAATTCTAAAATTATAATTCAATTCTACAAGTCTCTAGAAAGTTTCAGCTTTTTCAGTGTTTTCTGCTTTATAAGATTATACTTTCATTTCAGTTGAATTAATTAAATTAATACAATTAATTTAACTGATTATAAGTTCAAAATAGTGGCGTGAAATAAGAAATACTCCATTCACAGAGTGGAAAGAGGTACTGTATTAAGGCAGATTTTTTTTATTTACTACTAGATGACAGTCAGCCTGGTGGTATGATTTAATTCTTCTAACTAGAAATAAATCAGTAACATGAACAGGAAAACATTTTTATTCTGTATTAGTATTCTAAGAAAAAGCGATGGTTACTAGGATTTGGATATCAAACCTGTTACTTTACAGGATATCTAATGATGAAAAATTAATTTGACCAATTATCACATGGAGTTCACATGCTTCTTAAATGAAAAATGAATCAATAAGCTCTTTAAAAATGAAATGTATTAGAAGAGTCCAGACACTTAAAGCAAGTTGAACTGGGACTCAAACTCTACTGATCACACCACAGCAAACTAGTATTAAGTGTAGCACTCTAAAGCTTTCTCACCCGATCATTGTCCAAACAATTATTTCCCCCCCTAACCGCCCATGTACTTCAGACTTGCAGTTATGTTCTAAATACACAGTGAAAATACTGACAAAGATTTCAGATCAGCTTGGTATGTTACTCAGCTGGGACTATTTTGTACACTTGAAACTTTACTTTCAAGACTTGCCTTAATAGAGGAGTAAGTAAACTAAAAAGCTGTCACAAATGTAAGAAAAACACTGCTTATAGGCCAAGCTGGTAGAAAAATGCCTATTTCTAAAATTTTAGCATTCTCCTTACAGCATAGGAAATAACACATAATTAAATATTGATACTTCTTACTGCATACAGAAAGACTGTAAACCACATGATTCACTGTTCTGAGAGTAATTTTATATCACAGCTACTGTACGGCTCAGGAAAAAGCCCACATATTTTTTTGTAGTACTCACATCAAAGTCCACAGTGATATCTCTTGCTTCTAGCTTCATTGTACCGTAAGTATTAAGAAATCTTAGTAAAGAGTCTGATGATTTACACAGACTGCTCTGCTGTATGGGTTTCAAGGGGTTTCTATCCTTTTATAATAATGTTGCATCTAGCCCTGTAGTTTTTTCTGTCTATTATTTCAACTGATTTCTCCTGCTGCTTTGCTTTTTCCCTTCCCTTTCTTACAAGTAAAGTTATTGTATATAAATCATAACCATGTATATATAAAACCTTTTCTTCTGATATGCAGTAAAAATATGTGATTGGAGAGACTATATAAATTCTCTTTAGAATAACATACTTTTTTTTCAAAAGTTGACGTACCTTCACTTTAGAGTTTTCTATCAAATGCTGAGCCATTGATTTTATCAGAACTTCAAAGAAAAACCATGAATACTGCGGAGAAAAGAAAACGTTCTGTAAAATTGCCACATGTATTCAACAACTATTTCAATATAGTTAGTTCCTATTCTTCAGTTATGACCAGATAAGAACATACAGTAAAAAGTATAGTTTAATGTATACCTTAAGCAGTTTGTTGCTTGTAAGAAAGTCAGCAGATGGCTTTAAAATTGTTGTCATGGATTTTGTCAGTTCTTCATGTACTGTCTTATACTCAGAAGCAACATAGGGTTCAGCTTTATAAGCATACTTGGGGAGAAAAAACAGAATATAATATGAAACTATGACATAATATGAAACAATTGAATTTAAACAGATGCAACTAAATTTAAATATACTCTTTTTAAAGAAATAATAAATGAAACATTTCATTTACTTTTACCTACCTTGACATAAGACCTCAAGTAGCTATCCAAGCCTTCTTCATGACACTGAGCAACAATATGGATAATAACCCTAAACAGTAGACAGAAACCAAGTAAGCCTACAAAGCAAGCTATGATTGCAACAGCAAAAATGCTACTCAGTTACAGGTTTATGTGATAACCCAGTGGTCACTTAAAACTCTATGAAGCACTTGAAATTCTTTACCTTGTCACATTGACTGCAACTTCCTCTTGAGTTGCTCTAGTGAGAACTCTAAACAACTGATTTAGAACAGTAGGCAGGAAAGCTATCATCACATGGCCTTCCATAGCATGAAGGCTCTAAAAGAAAGCAGTAATACTGTCACTCCCTTGAAACAACAGCATTTAAATCGCAAGTTCTGAAACAATAAGCTTTAATACAAGTCTTTTTCCAAAAATACATGCGGCTTCCACTATTTGGTGTTAATTAGCTGAAATAAAACTGCACAGAAAGCGACTGAGAATAGTTTCCAACATAAATGTTTGGCAAATATTTTCTACATTTGGCTTAATTATGAATAAAACTTAGGCTTTGTTAGAAGGATTTTAGAAGTAGTTACTTGTACTTTTCCATTCAAATGCATACTAGGTAACATTTCAATGAAAAGATGACCTGTGTATACCACAGCAAGCTGACACTGACTCTCTGGTTTACTTTGCTATTTTGTCTACCAATGCTGACATTTAGCAAACAGAAGTTCCACAAAACCATACAGATTGCTTACCTGTGGTAAGTGCAATACTAGTTATACTAGCTACTGCAAAACAATAAACTAATACATTAAAAAATAGAACAAACTAAAATCCCTAACTACCTAATGCTGGAAATTGGAGACAGTGAATTACTGACCACTCAACTTCTTCATGATATGCCTTTGCATTCCATCACATGCAAAAGATATTACAGAAGTAACCACCCTGACATAAAAGGCAGTGTATGGCATTTCATCCTACGTTGGTTTATGCCACAAAATTCCCTGGAGTTAAAGGGAGTTTGGTAAAAAAAAAAAAAAAAAACAAGAAAAAAAAAAGACTATATTTGCTGAACATGCATACAGACAACACATTTCAAACATTTCCATTCAGTGTTAAGTAGCTGCCATGGTTCTGAACGTTTTCCTGTGTGCACATTCACACTATTCAGGACTCAAAACAGTCTTCCTACACGATATGCGATTTTTCTTGGAAACAACAGTCATGCACTACAGCATCTTTTCTATAGATCCTGAATATCAGTGCACTGGGTAAACATGCAAACGGAATTTCAGCTCACGCTTTTGTCCAGGATGCAGACATTTTTTGGTAAAGGCTGATACACAGAAGGCAAGCTCTCAATATGCCGAAGTAAAAAGTATTTGGGTCCCTGGGAGGCCAGGCTAGACAGGAGTTTGGCCCAATGGAATTGAAAACAGCCATAATTTGAAAATTCACAGAAAACAGCATTTGTTTTCTGTTACTGTGAAGTGAGGCAATAAAGTCAATAAAATGTGTTAAGCTGGTGGTGTGGAACATGTTCATACTGTGTGGTGAGAGTATTCTGGCGTTTGATGACAAGCAGAAGTCATAAAGAGGCCCTGTGGTTGCATTATTTTGTCCCAGGGACTTTGGCAAGACATGGTCTTGTCACTGAACCTATAGATTTTGCTAATGTGGAATTAATATAAATGTAAATAAATTAAGTGTTTAAGCAAAGGAATAAGCTACCTAAATGTACTACAGCATACGTGATCACAAACAACTGAAGTAAATTATGTGATCTGGGAGTGATCTGAGGAAGTGTTCTTTTCAGTTTTCCCTAAAAAGATACTTCCATATCTGATGGTCATTTTGTTCTACCAGACTAGCAAGAGTTGTACATATCAAGAAGAGAATTAACCCTTTGATTCCAGCCAAGTGTAATTTTTGATGGTCAATGGGTAGCAAGATAAATCTGAAATAGCCATGCTACTCCCTGGAAGTGATTTTGATTATATCAGACTCAAGTAGAGTTCTGATAAATTTAAGAAACAGTGGGATTTTCAAAGTACTGTGAATCCCAACGAATCAAACATGCCAGAAACGGACTGAGGGTTGTTTACAATTTCGGCTTCTGAAGTAAGAATGAACCAACTGCCCACATCAAAGCACAGGGCCATTCCATTCCTCATAACATGAACAGTCACTGACGCCAGGACCCTCACAAAGAGGCTCTCCATGGTATGCAAACTGATTTTTTAATAGTACTGATTCAGACCTGTCACGTATGCAGAGATTTTAGTAATGATGGCTCTTCTCACATAGCATCTGACTGTTTCCCAGACCAACTGCTTCATACTACAGCACCAGAAAGAGCAAATTCTGTTTCTTCACCTGAACTTGTCAATAAAGACATTCAATTCCCTGAGGTTCAGTATGGGCCATAATCATTCCCTTCTTGATACCAGAAAACATCTGCCATTTTCTCTGGCACCTCAAGTAGCAGGAAGGCTACATCCCTTGGAAAAAAGTGATGGAAACCATACTGACAATTTTAAAGAGCTTCTGTGAGCCACAGGTCAGACTCTAAGACCTCTAATTCATGATAACAGATACTCAAAATATACCATCTTTATTATATGGAGAGAAAAAAAAGACAGGTTAAGTCAAATGATAAAGGTTCAGTGCCCCAACCAATCTCAAAACCACAACCAGAAGACACGAAGGCAAAGCTGCACCTGTGAGAAAAATGCCTTTTATGACTAGGACTTCTAAAAATCTGAATGATTCCTTTGTTTGTATTTTGACAGAACTTTTTTTTTTTGCTAAAAAAGTACCAACAGTAGGAAGTGAGACTTAAAGAGGTTCCCGTCTTCAAACAGAAATCTCAGACAGCAGGATCACAATCTCCTATAAGGATTACTTCGGGAAAAATAAAATATTCCCCTTGGCCTCAAGGCAAGATGAAACACTTTGAAGCAGCAGTTCTTCTCCTGTTCCGTCTCTTCTGGAGAGATATCTTCACGGTACAAACCACATATGCTCAGTTAGAAAGATTGTATATTTTGAAAAGTGTCACAATGACACAGGATATGCAAGTGTTGCATCAGGGAGCAATTCTGCACATAAGCTATCTCTAACTCCAATAGAGCCTCTTGATACTGCGGAGTGCTGACTTTTAAAGCCAAACCACCACCAGGCTTAGTGCTTGCGCCATCTAACTGGGGACTATTTGGTACAATTACTGCTGCAGAAAGCAGTGGAAATAAGGATGGCTCCAGATCTAAAATTATGAAGGAACTTGAAACAGATACTGTAAGTGAGAAACACAGAGAAACAACATCTTAAATCAAAACAAGAACATCAGTAGCAAGTGAGAGGCATCTCTAGTGACTCATTCTAAGTAACCATGGGGGATGATGAAGTTCAGCTACAAGAGCTACAAGACTACTTGTTCTTTGCCTTACACTTTTGATGTGAAGCTACCATTGCAAGAATCAATTCTAAGGGGTTGTATTATCGTCATATGCTTTGTCAACATGCTTTGGGATTGCAAAATTTCAGAATGATTAGGACAAAGAAAAGACCGAGAAAAAGGTCTGACAGTAAAATAATGGTAATAATAATTAAAAAAAACTATTTCCAAATCAACTTATTCCATCTTCCCGCTGTTAATGTACTGTATTCTGTTTTGTACCAAAGGTGATCACAGAGGTCTTGGGGGGGCTCAGATCTATAGTTTTGAGATAACCAACGTGACAAAGCAAGTCCACTTCAGAAGCGTGCCACATTCAATAGTTAAGTTCTTACTTAAACGGTCCTGAGTCGACAGTCCAGTTTTATTAATTGATGGTATTCAGTTACAACAATAAACTCTGTAGTGCTTAAGAAAATCAGGAGTTACCTGTGATACCTTACATGGATTTTAAAGTGACTGAATTTTGGCCTTCGTAGTAAAAATCTGGCCTACTCGGTTAAGACAAAATTGCTGTGGAAACCATGCACTCTATTGATTTAACCCCGAGAGAGAACTGTAGACATGACAAGGATGATCTCCTAAGCAAAAGTTTAGCAAATCAAGAGTCATAATTTCTTACCATTCCCGCATGAGTTACATTTGATTATATTGCAAACTAAGCCATTAGCGTTTTGAAATTATCACTCATAACAGCGACCAATACTGTCTCACTATTCCTTTGTGGTTTCCTCTTATATTGCAATGGTAAATTTATCTAGGGCAAGAAGTAACTTTTTGTTCATTTTATACTGCATATTCCATTAATGAGACCTAGAAAACATCTGAAGCTTCTACATTTTGCAAAAGTATAAAGAAATAGTAGTATCTGTTATTCACTGCCATTTTATACCTTCAGATATTTTACAAGATCAGTTCCTAGTGCACGCGCTCCAGACTCTGTTTTCTGACAGTACTGAAAAAAATTATGCAAGTGTTGGTCCTGTAAAGACAAAAAGAACAACAAATTAAACAATATCTAACATTGCTATCCATAATCCAAAACAAAACACTTTAAATATATTTTTAAATAGAAATCCATGTGTTCATAGATATGATTTTCAAAAATAATTGATGTGCACTACTCTGACGACTAATTCAGTCTATATGTAACATTGATTTTTTTTAATTCACATAAGAATTTTCCAATGATTTTTGAATACCCATTACACAAAATACCACCTACATTTGCTTCAAACTAACTGACATGCAGAAAATAGCATACTTAAAGTTAATTATCCCAAACGATCCTAATATGTATTTTATGAGTAGCTGTAAGAGGACTCATTGCTTTGTAGACATGCCAGTAAATAGCTTTCAGACAACTATGACGTCTCATCTAACAGGAAAATTCAGATTGGAATGGATGACAATGTTAGACAAAAGGCTCACATTTTGAATAGCTTCCATTTAAGATCTGCTGTTTTTCACAGCTGATGTGAAAGACAGATACCATGTAGAGTGTCCAGGAGACACAAAAAAAAAAAAAAAAAGGAGATCAGGGTATTGAGTTTAAGAATCTTCCCAAATATTGTGTATACATATAACAAACATAGATTGTCCCTAAAACTTTCTCTAATTTAATTTGGTTTATGACTCACCTGTGTATACACAGTGGACACCAGATGAGTGGATATTTTTAACAGTTGTTTGCCTCCATCTACCCATTTAATTTCAGGACCAGAATGCTGCACACACACATGCAGAGGAAAAATAAAATAATGTAGCAGTATACTAGAGTAAAACAATTTGTTTATAGTACCACAAGCAACACTTTTTTTAAAAAAAAGTAATACAGGTTGAAGAAATGTGTGCAATGAATAAAGTTATAAAAAAAAAAGGGAAAATTATGCAGGCAATACTACCAAAAGCATTTATGAAGCTTAAAATGTTCTTTTAAAAGAAGTCCCACAGTAGCTCCCTCACTGGCTAACAAAATTGCTTTTCTATAAGTCACAGATCTCATGTTTCCACTACAACCTTGCAAAGAAACTTCTGACTAGAGAGAAATATCTGCTAGTTTTCTGAGAGAAGTAACACAAGAATTTCCACAGATATAGACACGCTTCAAAACTTAAGTCACTGATAGGTGAAGCAGCCAATGCTTCCTTCCCATCTCATTTCCAAAGAACTGAGAATGGGAATGCTCAGCTGTCTACCCTCACAACCAGTTAGGGAGAGATTTTACTGCTAGATATACAACTAGTCATATTGGTCCTAACCTTCTACCCATGGGCATGAGCAGAGACGAACAGCAGAGGTATAAAGAGTACACCTACAATGTGAAAAGATGAAAGATGTGAAGGAGACAATGGTTGGAAAGCTTACAGCAGAGTTTAAAAAAGAAAAGGTGACAGAACAGGAGGAGAGCAGCACCTATTGCTCTTGATTTTAGGCCTCTTCCTCCAAAATGAGTCAATTTTGTCTCTGCATTTCATTCTCTTAGTCAAATCCCCTATCACATTTAACATTTTGTATCCTCCTCAGTATCATTTTTATTACTACAGTTTTGCAAGCTTTCTGCTTTGAAAAATACAGCCATAAATTTTACTAGTGAAGTAAAGGGATCACAAAAATCAAGATGTGAGAATACGACTTTTTCAGGAATAAAGGACTTACTGAAAGGAGACAGCATGAAATGCTAAAAAAAATTTAGTAAAGGACTTCAGATTATTTGCATATCTTCATAAACTCAAAATAGTTTAATATATTTTAAAATTACTGTAACTTCTTGTTAGTTATTACAAACAAAAAAAAAAGAAACAAACATTTCCTAGGTACATCAGCCAAATAATAACAGAAATAAATATTTAACAATTTAAACAGAAAACTATATTGGGTTAGGTTGATTCAAATCCTTGTAGAAGTCAGAATTTAGTCATAAGTTTTGTCTCCCATGTCTGTCTGGGTTTGTTTGTTTCCAAGTCAGTTGTCTAACTTTCACAAAGCGCTCCATTTCAACTATAAAAGAAAAAAATTTCTACTAGAAAATTACTTAAATCTTAGCAGACTGGGGAATTACAACCAAACCTTCTCTCCTTTTTTTAAAGATTAGAGCAATTTTATATAACATACCTTTCCAACCCCCACTTCTTGATAACTAAGATAGCCTGATGGAAGATTTGCTGACACTGGGATGTGTTGCTCATTGGTCACCACTCTTCCATCCTTTATTAGAGGAAGCCAAGAATACCCAACTATGGAACATGAAAGGCAAGTAATTTTAAATATGTTATGAATCTTTACATAAATTCTTATGAAATTCTTATTGTATAATTCCGATATGTAATTCATAAAGCAGAAAATGTGACTGTAAGAGCCAAATTATCTGAACTCAAATGATTAGAAACAATTAAAAAGGCAAATTGTCACTGAGTTTGAAAAAAAACCCATATTTGATATACATTCTAAAACACCATTTGAAACATTTAAATTAAAAGAATTACTTAATGAAATCTTTCAGTCAGTATAATGTAATTAGAAAACGTTACATGGATCACAAAAATCACAGGTTACCCGATAAGCATACTTAATAAAATCTCTCCAGTAGTTACTGAAAGTAAAGCATTAACATACAAACCTTGTGTTTCAACAACATCTTTCTTCTTTGTACTCCCTTTGCTTGAATTGTCACAGCTGACATGGTAGAAGGTGAACAACAAATGGTGCTTTTCATGTAACTGAGTGGGCAATTCTATTTTAATCTGAAAGGCAAAGAATCACAATCTTTGTACAAGTCTTCAGCTAGAGTAGTGACATGCCTTACTGGTTACACAAGTAAAAAGCAATTCCAGTTTATATGTTATTTGAAGCAAGATTAAGAATAACACACACAAAACTTACAAAAATCTACTTACAGTGAGCAGGGGGGTCTGATTTAACTGAAATCATTATCAAGAACTTTGAAATCCTCAAATCTTTTCTTGTATTTTTGAAAGTTACATAACACCTAAACCAGTAAAAGTTACCTCAGAAACGTAGCTTACCTCATCATAAAACTCCGGATTTTGATGGTGGTGCAAAACAGCAGCAAACGCGCTTCTAGTAAATACTGGTCCACCTGGCCTACCATAGATACACTAATAATAGAAAAAAGGAAAAAACAGAACAAAAAAATCCCATGATCCTTTTTCACTCTCATCTTAGAATCTGTTTCATCTAGAATTTGAAATATTTTAACTTGTGTTTAACTTGGTTCTTTTGCACAGACAGAGAATTACGTGACCTGCAGTCTGCCTGCTGTGCAGTAGAGCTGACACTGTGATTTCACCTTAGGATTCCTGTACGTTTTTCTACTTCTTTTCTTCCAGGCACCTCTTATACACTGTTGTAGCTTATAAACAAACACAGAGCTTGGCTCTGCAGTTGATCTAAAGCTTTACTGTTTTAACATAAGAATTCCTCTGTAGAGCAGGCATAAGCCACCCTTGTTCACAAGAAGTTTATTCTTGGAATTTTTGTTTATATAAAGAAATTAAATGCTCTGAGGGTTCTTAAGTAATCTTTTATATTAAAAACAAGCAAGTCATCTAGAAGATACTCTTATGCCAAATACAAAAGGAGGACAGCAAGCTGCCATCCCAAACTAGATAAATTAATCCAGCGCTGCTGTGTTACACAGCTAACTGTCCACGATCTTCTTTTATCAGTCACAAAAATCAAAAGACAAACCTTTAAAGGCAAAGAATCCTCTTCATCAGAATCCTTGAACTCAATGCATACCGCAATATTTCTAGCCTAAAGCAGCATTTAAAAACAAAAACACAAACACTTAATCATAAGGATCAGAACAGAAATATAATATGTAAAAAATCTTAACCAAACCTGAGAAAGAAGAATGTACATTTTTCCTGTACTCACCTTTGCAAAAGACTTTTGACTGTCATATTTCAAGTGCTTTGGATAAACATAAAGATGATTGTTGTAGATGGTGAAAGGCTGAGTGTGTTTTGGTATACATGGAACAAATTCCTCTATTTCAAATGTTATTAGTGTCTTGGTACTGTTTTCAAACTGTTTCATGGGAATGTATGATGAGTTAACATAATCTGAAAATACATAAAAAGCCCAATAAAAAAACTGAAGAGAAAAAGTCTGAATGTCCGTTTAACAGTGTTTATTAATACTTACTTGGAAAATCTGGTGACACATTATCAATTGTAACATCCAGATTTCCTAAAATAACAGGAAGTTTGGCCATCTTTTCAGGTCTATAGGAAGGAAAAAAACCTCAAAGTCAGTCTAAATGCAAAACTATCAGATGCCAGAGAAAAGAGATAATAGGAAACAGAGGCAAAAGTAATATCCTGAAATAGGAGTATGAGAGGAAAGGTGATTTGGGGGTGGATGACTGATCCGGTCTTTTTGCGTGGTTTCACAGTTTTCCTCTTTAAATTCTCAAAAAAAAGTAAGGCTTTATTCACACGTTTGGAAAAGGTTAAGAAAAAAGCAGGATGCATCTCTTTCTTTAAATCAAAATGAAAAACTTTGTTAAAGATAGGTTTTGTTCGCCATGTAATAACTCACTATCATTTGCTGCAAAGATGGGACCTCTAAGTAAGCTTTTTAAATCTCAGTGGCCAATGATAAGCACTTATGGTAATGGAGTAAACTTGGAGGAAAAGTAAAAGAGAGAAATCAGTAAGTTAACAAAATGCATCTTCTACTCAGTAATTTTTTTCCTACCTCCTCCTTTTTCTACAGTAATAATTCACCCTGCAAAATATTTACTATTAACTAGTCTACTATGAAATTTCTTAAATGTTATCATGTAGCTAATTCAGAAATATGATTTGAAGTAGGAGTATTTTCCACGTCAAAACACCAGTGTAGAATCCTATATAGTAAAGATAGTCAGCAGCATGATTTTTTTAAAAATTATTGCAGAGGCAGTAGATGCAATATTTTCCCAAAACGCAATCCCGTGCTGTGAAGCAAGCAACATTTTCTGGTTGGAGTCTGGATTCTAATTCCAGTAGCTAAGCCTTAGACATTACAATCTCTTTTTTATTAAAATTCCTGTGAAATACTGCATGCAATTCCACAAACAGGATGCTGAAATAACCAAAAGCATTTTGTTAATTCACAAAGTAAAGTGATGTGGCAGGCTAATTTACTATATTAGTTTCAGTTTCAATAATACTGTTTATGGTGAGGAGTATCAGTACACAGCAATTTCAATGCTATGTAAACTTCAATGAAACTTTAAGCAGCTTGCTAAAATGGAATCATATCTATTACAAACCTCATCTCCTTATCAGATTTGGTAAGCAAGAATAAAATAAAGAAACTATAGCCCAAGCCTTCTGAGATTAGTCATTGTTCCAGTTAATACAACTCCAGCTAACTGTGCCATAACAGAAGTGAAAATGTCTTTGTGAAGCAGCAAAGACATCTCTATTCTTTTACATCCTATTTAATAAGAAAGGGGATTAAAACCGGTTTATTAATAGGGTCATCTGTCAGTAAGAGATTCTTAAGCCTTACACACAAAGTGATGCAGTCTTTAGGCATACTTTGAACGAAAGAATGAGCAGTGTTCTGTTACTTAAGGCATGCTGAGCCACATGCACTCCCAAGGAAGGTGGGCTGGATACTGGCTTGAATCCCTTTCCCTGAGCACTAACATTCTCCATCCAAGGCCAGTGAACATATGATTTATGCTCATACTTTTTTTCCTTTGAGAACCAGAAGAGTGTTTCGTGCAAGCACAACTCCTAACACAGAGCTACTTCTGGATATGATGCTTACTGCATGTTAGACATGGCATAATACTTCAGTCCTGCTTGTAGCCCCTGAACACTGCAAAGAAAAGATCTGTAGCTTGGATGAAGGCCTTGATTATATTTATACAACTTCTGTATTTGAAATGAAAAACATATAAATAGATATATCAAAAGTTAATATGCTCCACTTCAAGACCATAACAAAAAATGGTGGGGCTCGGAGGAGGGGGAGGAGGTGTTAGAGAGTGGTTGGTTGGTTTTGTTTTTTAAGGAAATTAGACTTACTTCCTGAAATCTGCTAACAATTTCAGCATATCTTCATTTGAAAGTTTATTACTGTCTTGTCTGAAGAGAGGAGAAAATCTTGCATTTTTGTCCAGGGTTCCTGAGGCATCTTTAAACAGCGTCCTGAAAGTGAAAATCTTGCTTTCAGCTGAGTTTATGAATGTGTTGAAATTCACTTCAGGAAATTTCTTTACTACAAATTAGAACATACTGCACCATCCTTCATATTAAGCATTTAATACTCTTGTCATTGTAGGTGATTTTTAACATATAAATAGCTCATTCTAACAAATCAAGTGTGAACAAATTCATTCTTAGTAAAATAAAAAATATTGACAACAGAAAACAGTTGGCAACATTCAATGGTTTGACTAATAATATAGTGAATGTTTATAACTTTTTTCTTACTACAAAGCTGAAGTGTAAGTTTGTCAGAAATCTTTGGGTAACTGAAAGTAAAACAAGAAATAATTTAAGTAGCATATTACGTTTTACAAGAAATGAGATGCAGAAAATAGTGTTAAAGAAAAGTCAGGGAAAAATACAGACTGACAAGATCTGTCCTTACCTAGCTGCCCAGGCAAAAGGCATTCTATATTGACCTAATCTCTGGCATGCCTGCTTTGCGTTTTTCAAAACTTTCTGTGCAACCTACAAGGGACATAAGAAAGAGTCACGTTTTAAAAGCTACATTTTTGTACCGTTAGTGTCAACATATGTTTTTTTCTTGTGTACTGTTATGAATTGGAAAATCTTTTTTAGAGTATTAATCCTAAGTATGCGAGTGAAAGACAAATGAAAATACCTTTGAACAGTTCATTTCAGGTTAAGCAGGGCCTGTTGATTTCACAGCATTTCATGGGTGAAAACACAGACCCTTCTACACTCCCAGTAATACATATCTAATTAAGAAAAAATTATTATATACAAAACTTATACGAAATCTAGAGCAAAACTGAACTTGTTTTCCAGACAAAATTGTGACTCCAGATAAAAACATTTCCCCCGACACTTGCTCCCCTATTCACCATACACTCTATATACCAGAACACATTCCTGCAGAGTAAATAGTAAAATACTGTGTAATACTCGTGATACGAGTACACACAGAATACAGGGAGGAGTTGTATAAAGATCACATGAATCTTATGTATGGACACTGCGAGTTTGTTTTCATTAAAACTGGAAATTTTTGGTTTTGTTAACTTTTAAGTGAACCAACAATTTCATTATATAGAACGAACATGTATAACAATCAGAGCGAGAAACCCCCTAGTCTGAGACATTGAACACCAAGCTGCGCCACCTGAGCTAAAGCAGAAGCTCCTGACACAGCAGTGGGCTTCTCTTTTTCAGAAACCAGTTTCTCCTATGTGCCTACACAAAGCAAAATTATTTGCCAGAAGCAAAAAAACACCAAGTAAACCTGCCTGAGTATTATTCCTGATCTACGCTGTTGACATTATGAAGAGCTGTTTCTATTAGTGTGTTGTTTGAGCCAACTCTCCATTATCCTTTCCTGTAAGAAGTGGGAAATTGCACTCAAAAGCACAGAACCTTGATAAATAATCATAAATTCACTGTTTTCAGTGTTTAAGGGGAGAACAAGTGATCTCTTAGCTATAGAATTTGCTGCTTCCATTTTCCCTTTTTCTTGTCCAGAGTAGTAATTCTGCAGGGAACTGGAACTTGCTTATTGCACTGCCACGCATGAAGGCCTATATAGCTGGTACTGTTCTGTTTTGTTTCAAATTAATATGGTGTCATCCCAGAGAATAAGAACAGAAAAAAAAAAAAAAAATTGCTCAATTGCATAAAATTATAAGCAAATGAATACCAGAAATGCATGGCACAAGTTAATACAGCCGTGGCTACTCCTGCAGTACAAGGCAACACAAGTCTAGCACTCGGCATCAAATTCGGGAACACTTGGGCTTACTTAACCTTCCCATGTGGCTCAGGCCCAAGACCACCAAAACCTGTTACTCAGTTCAGGCTTGTTTTAAGTCAGTAACAGTCAGCACACACACTTCAAAACCAGACTCCTAAAATACAAAGCTGCTGTTTTCCAATGATAGCTGGAAAAAAAAAAAAAAAAAAATCTCAAGCATTCCTGGAAAAGCAAATCAGTAGTCTGATCTATATTAAGCCCAAGTGAAAAATAAAGGTTTTTTACGCGTAGCTTAGCCAGCGTTAAATCAGTAAGAAAGAACACTGTTCCTCTGCAGAGACTGAAAGTTAACCCTTCCTTCTTCTCCTTCACTGGCTGAAAACAGGAAGAATGTCAACAGTAGCTGACACTGCTTAAAAATCCCTTCTTCTCTTCGTATCCTGGTCCAACTATTTAAGCACAACTGTACATCAACAAAATTAAAACTCTGTTTCTTCAGTGACAAAAAAGAATCAGCAACTGACAAAGCTTCTTGTAGATATGTTTCAGAAAACATTAAAATGTTATGTCATCCTAGACTCCTGCAAGCTTAAGATGTTTCAGGGGTTTATTTCCAAAAGTGATGTGGAATGCTATCAAAGCTGCAAAGCATTTTATACATAAAAACAGAGGCTTAATGATCTCAATGGCTGTGAAGGAAAAAACAGCAAGAGTGCAAAGTTACAGTAACTGTGGTCACCAAAAAGTGAAACAAAGGAAAAGTTAACAATGATACAGTAAATAAGATGCATTAACTATGAGAGACATACAGTTAATTTCTGACCTATATTTAATATTTCAGTGCTCAACAGTTTTCAACTCAACTTTCACAGTGAAGTCTAATACTCTTTTGTCAAATCAGTTTATTTAAAGCCATTATAAAAATTATGGATTATGTCACGATTATAAAAACCTAAATAAAAGTTTCCCAATAATATGTTAGAATTTATCTATAACATTTCAATTAATAATAGTTACTAGTAATAACTGCAACTTACTAAATAAAATCATCCAGTTATCTCAGCTATCTGAATTTCCTATAAAAGAACTAAGCTTTTGTTTGATGTTTATTAATATTGAAATCAATCTGTCTTGCCTCAGCACTTTTTCCATGCCACGGAAGAAGATAACATACCTTCGAAGAATCTGAACTTTTCATATATGGTTCAGCACAATGTGTAATACTTCCCTGTAATACTTTTTCTATTCTAGCCACGAGGAAAATGTCAGTGTGAGGACACGTGACTGAGAATATTCCCTAGAAGTAAAACAAGAGACAAATATAAAAGGAAAATGAGTACACATTTTACATCACATAATAGAAAGCCATCCGAAGCATGTATGAAAAATCTCTACTTGTATCCAAAATCCTACTAATTCTTCAGGTTACTAGTTCTTACCTGCTTTGGGTATTGTAACACAGTTTCATGAACGTCTTGAATTCCGTGTAAGCTATCACCACTGCCATTCATCATTTGTTGAGCTGCACTGGATATCATGTGCCTTACTGAGGCGTGGTTCAAATCAACATGGAAATCTGCTGAAATTTTCCGGTTGTGTTTAATATCAAATAGTGATAACGTGACAAAGAAAGGTTCTACCTAGACATTCAAAAAAAGAATCAACTGTCATTGCCGGCACCTATATTACTGTAAAAAATGCCTATGAAAGGAAGATGAGTACCATTTTTATAAACATTTACACATGGCCATCACTCTAGATATTACTGACAAGATGTAAAAACCAGTAAAAGAAAAATTCCACTTTCTACAACACAACAAAAAGATTAGTAGCAAAGTTACTTTTTGTAGGATTTAGGCTCTCATTTTGATTTAAAGGAGTAGAAAAAAACCCACAATATAAGTTTCTTAATCACAGCAAAGAATCCCTGCCAATATTTTGTTGGCACTTCTTAATAAGACATTCATTACCATATTAACAGAAAATAATTAGATTAATTATTTACATTGGTTGTTGGCCCTTCTTCATTTTCTGCAACGCAGCTTTGCAAATTAAAAGATAAATCGTTACACTTCACAAGAATTTTTTTTCCAAATTTCTCTTCAAATGGCTTCACTTCTGGCTCAACACCAGAAAAGTCAAGTTTCTTTAAAAAGAGAAAAGAAAAGTTAAGTTGTTTTTCATCTCAAAAGGATCAACATAAAAGAAAGTAACGTGCTATCTTGTAAAAAGTCTAACCTGTGCATCTGGATCCAAGGCAAAAAGTTTAACTCTGCTTTCACTTTTCAACTTGATTTCTGCTTCTCTGGTACTCTGTTCAAAATGAGAAAAAAAGTCTTAATATCACACTATTAAATTAAAGTCATTTTCAATTTCATTCTTTTTTCTGTGATGTTCAAAGCTTTACATGTTTTTAATATATGCACTCTTCTCTCCCTAACTGAGCTTTAAAACTCCTTAGTTTAAAATTGCTCCATCAAGTCCGAGTAAAAAAACGAGAGAAGACTCCTCTCCTCTAAAGGCTTTTCCAGGCCTAGAAACACAAAACCTTACATCAGCAACATGTAACCTTCCAAGCTCACAGGAAGTATACTCCAGTGTAGCTCATATAGCACTTTGGCTCCTTAAACAATAACTTTCATAACACTATTTTATTGGAGGAAGGGGGAGAGAGGGGGAAGCTATGAATGTAGGTTAAAGCTCAGAGCTATCCTGAGACTGTAAGATTGCTCAGGAAACAACAGGTTACCTAAATTAAGAAACAACACCCTTGTAGCTGTCTGTCTTTTTTATTAGTTTTCTTTTTTTTGCCCTTTTCCTTTCTTGAGTTCTACTGCCAAAGAAGTGGTTTTCCTGTGGGTAGATGGAAAAACCCAAAAAACTTCCAAAAGATAAAACCTTCACACTTAAAAGTTCCTTTGCACACTGATCCTGCCTGGGATTTGTGGATACCTACCTAAAAGGAAAGTGGAACAAAATAGAACATGAAAACTGATGGTATGCATAGATTACTTTTTTTTAAAAAAAGGTATTATTTAAAGACTATTCTATGGTTTTTAAAGTCACGGGACATGACAAATGGACATATGCATGTGCCAAAATTACCCATGTAGGAGAGTTGTCATTCCCAAAATAGTAGCTGGCTAAACAGGGATACAAACTATTATGTTACAGACAGGTGTCTATTTTTGCATCAGCCTGTATGGGTTACAAGAAGTTACCAACCCAGAATGCTCATCACTGACCATCAGCTAGAAGTGACCTACTGTCTACATCTGCTTTGTTGGAGGTTGAAGAAACTCTTACTACGTCTCAAGAAAAAAAAAAAAAAAGCACACACCAAAAGAAAAAAAACACCACCAAAAAACCATCAGCTCTAAGAGCTCAAAATCCTATTTTACATTAATAATAATAAAGAATTTGACTTGAAGGATGCATTATAGAAGAGGAACTTCTGAGGTGTGATTTTGAGTCTAGAAGCTCTAATGGATTTCATTTACTTTATTTCATTATCTTTAGCACACGCAAGAGAAAAGGCAAGAGTTGCTGTGAAAGACACTACCCAGGCACTTGATACCAGCAGAATATTGGCAGATGTTGCTTGTTCAACAGCTGGTATGATTGAGAAATACAGGACTAAACTGTGAAGAAGTTTAAAGATGGCAAGAAGGTTGCATGTATGTTTTGGAAAGGGAATAGTGGCAAGAACTGAAGAGGAAGATGATCTAGTCATAGAAGCAAGACAGAAACTGTTTCAGCTAAAGCATCTTGAATAGTTTTAGATTCTTTGGCATTTTGTGCACTAAAGACAAGATAAAAATATGCATTTTTGACTAACAGATCAGTGGCTGTCAGTCAGAAGTCAGGAACTGAAAATGTGCGTACTGATCAACTCTGTCTACAGCACAGCGGTGACTCTGTAATTCCATTTCCTCATTGGTAAAACAGGGACAATGTTTTCCTACCTCAAGGAATACTGGGATCCGTAATGGTTAAGGAGGTACTTGGGCACACTGATCATGATAGTCACATAGTTATTTAAGAAAGAGGTCGAATTTGTTTTCTCTGAAGATTAAAAAACAAACAAACAAACAAAAATCCCAAATAAAACAATAAAACCCCTACATTAACTCTTGGTACTTAAGTTACAGATAAAAGAAACATGATGTAGGCAGGACAGACAGATTGAGATATATGTGTGCACATCTGTGCACTCAAGCACACAATACCATCTTATTTAGTTTACATTATAAACTAACAGCTGTTTATAGAAAAATGAAGGCTTGGAGATGTACTCACAAGGGTTAAACCTTTCCTGGGAAGACTGTTTTTTCCCCCTATTGTCAGGTGCTCTACAATCACCCCTGAAGGAATTTTTCTTTCCTCATAAGGATATGAGGTCAACTATTGTGAAAATCTTCTCCCAGAACCAACAAAAATAATAGAGCAACTATAAACTCTGCTAAAAGAAGGCTCAATGCCTTGTAAGCCTTCCACTGGGGAAAAAAGAACCAAACCCAAATAACAGCTGAAAAGACAATGCAAGAAAGAATAGAGGACAAAAAAATCCTCAAAACAAACAGCATTTACATAAAGTAACCAAGTTAAGGCACAAAGAGTGTACTAATGCAAATGGGCAGATTTTTCCCTCTACTTCTCAGGGAAGAAAGGTTAGAAAAATACATTAGAGGAAATTATTTTGAAAGGTAGTATTTCATAAAGATGAACTAGAATAGGAAAACGGAAAAACTTATTTTGAAGGAATCAAAAGTTTAAATGGATTTAAAAAAACGGAATAAAAAAATCCAGTGCTTAAGAGCTGAGAAAAATAACACATTAGAAAAATACCTAGCTTAAAGAGCTGCATGCTTCTGACCAGAAGGTTATGGAAACAGGAAGCAGCATTTGTAGTACTAAAACTATATGCAGGTGCTGCAACCCTGAATAAAAGTCCTCTCTGGAAGTCATATGGAACCTAAGCATTCCAATAACTCTGACTATAAAGAAAGAAAAATCATAGAATCATTTTGGTTGGAAGAGACCTTTAAATCTTCCATACAAAAAGAGCATCTAATTTTATATTTCTTTCTGAAATAAATTTTCATAGCTTCATGTAAGTATGCTGTTTGATGCTTACAGCCATTCCAAGGATTGTATGCACCACAATCCAAATTAATTTCCAAATGCAGGCGTAGCTGGAGTTAGATTATCACATAATAGCTTTTTGTGTACAATCAACTAAATTGATTACAAAGCAGTAACAGAAAGAATTAAGTCAGCCAACTAATTTGGGTGCTAAAAACCTGTTAATCTATTCTGACTGGAGCTTTTGATATGTTAGCTATTGTAATCGAATTTGTTTTACTGCTTGTTCTCAGTTTATAAGCTGCACTCCCTTCAAGAGTAGCTACTAGGTCAGACAGATCCTCAGAAAAGAAGGGGAGAGCATTCCAGAGCACGGTCAAGCAGAAAAGTTTCAAGACTGCAGGCTGTGCCACACAGAAGAAAGAGTAAGGAAGTCACAGGACGGAGTCTGGATTCTGCAACTTCAATAAAAAAGGTCACCAGCTCCAGTCCTTAGGTGATTTAACAAAAATTTCTTCCCCAGAGACCTCATGAAACCTATTGCGACACACAAGTCACTGATTTAACTGAAATAAAGTCTGGAAATGGGCTGAGGGAGAGTTACAGATATTTTCTATTTATTTCTATTTTATTTTATTCTTATTTCTATTTCTACCACACTTATGTAAATATAAAATTGAAAAGCAACAGTTAGGGCAATACAGAAAGTATCCATGAACTTGCCAGCTCGTTACAAACACAAGCATCTTAAAATACATTCACATCATCACTGCTATTAAGCTCCTCTGGACTTCTAAGTATAAAAACAAAACTTGCCTTTAGTATAACTAGATGTCTATAGAAATAGTCTAGCACATACCGGCATGCAATAAAACAACACAAAATATGCAATATCCAACAAACTAATAAAACATGCTGCTTTTAAACAGCATGTCAAAACTTATATAAGACAGTAGCTAGTTTGCTTCCAAGAGCAGAAAATAAAGAAGCTCAATAAATGAAAATGAAGAATTTAATCTATTCACGAAAGAGCTTCTAAGCTTTCAAAGCACCACAAACTGACTGGAAGCCGCTACCTTGCCTTTAATGAAAGTTCATGTGGCTAACTTTATGTTTAGTACTTTATAACCTGAGTTCGCGTTTACAATATACATTACCTTGGCAATTTCAGGATAGTAGTTATCAAAACTACTTGATGAGCTTTCCATTTTGCTTTGATCATCATCTGAAATTATAAAACCACGTTTAAAAAAAATTAAAAAAAAAAACAAAAACAACCAACCACAAAAACCCCAAGCTACCCACAAAACTCCATAGCAAAATTATTTCTGGTTTGTTTTTTTTTTAAAAAAAAAAAACAACAAACAAACCCAAATCAACTCTTACCCCCTCAGAAATGACAATTATTAACATAAACAGGTAGTGGACAACTCCATCATTTTGATGCAGTCATTTCTTGGAGGATGTAACCAGTTACATAAATTGGTAAAGCAGCAGTTGTTTCTAATGCCACCTAGAAAACAGCTTTAATATTAATTTTGATATATGCACAGGGAAAGGGGATACTCCATGCACAAATTTACATTACACTTTCCAGTATGCATTGTAATTTGATTTCAAAACAAGTTCCCTCTGTTCATTAAGTTCCCAGCTCCACTCTCCAATGGCTACTGGATTTACAAAGCAACCATTCAGTTAGCTATAAGCATCTTGCAGTTCTAAGGTCCATTGGGGACCCCTGACTAAAATGTCATTCACAGAGCCCCAGGTTTCTTTTTCCGATTTGCTTTTGTTGTACACATCGTGTTAAATTCTGGCAATCTTCACCAAAGACAGTGATATCTACTTTTAAACTCTAATGATCCCTTTGGTATAGCGTGCTATTTATAAGCAGCACAACCTTCTATAATCTCTTCCGGGTATTTGTGGATATGCATACACTTGGTCTCCTACCAGTTGCCTTCCCCATCCACTCTCAAGAGGAAAAACACACAAGAGGACATCTAGACTACCCTTTTGTCATCAAACTACCAACTATACCAACATCACATTCCTTAGCCATCTGTCTTACCTATTCTGAAAGGGCTCCAACAGAAAAGACTGTACACCCAAGCAATCTATTTCAGTACTTTAGGGAAATATCTGTGCTCAAGGGAGTTACATCTAAATTTAAAGTCCCTCACCGCAACCACAATTTCCTATTTTTCTACCTACAGTCACCACAGAACAGATTATTCCATATTCAGCAGCATTTTACACATTTCAAAACAAGTCCCTCCTAAGTTTTCTCTTTTCCTTAAACTGCTTCGGTCCAGCATTTTCATTGTGGGTTCTATTTTTGCAGACTTCTGATCAGTCTCATTATTCTCTTCTGGACTTAACCCAATTGGAATCAATACAGAACAGTGCTATTCTAATGTCAAAAGGTCAAAACTCTAAACAGTTCAAACAGTGAAAATACTTATAATTTTTACCACCAAAAAACCCAAAAAATTTTTGCCATAATAAAGCCATTCTTTCCAAATGCATGTATGCAGACGTCACATAACCATATTAGCATTGCTAGAAACCCTGCTTACCTTCGTGAGACTCTCCATTTCTTTTTTCTTGCATTGCAGCCTCAAAGTTAAGCTGTAGGATTTTGTTCAGAGTGTTTATCCATTCTTCCATTTCAAGTTCACTATCTGCAGCTAAAAGGTAACTGCTCTTGTCTTGCATCTTGAGCTCGAACGCAAAACGTCTGACTTTGTTGTTCTATAAGAAAATAAAAGATCTTTATATTATCTTTACTCACTGCCAACTCACAGTCAAAGGTGGTTACATGTATTTCAGATCTTTTAACAAAAATACACGGTTCAATATTTTGAACAAGCATATTATAATTACAGTTTCCTCTCTGACATTTGACCTTTTGAAATTCTTTGTACTGCTGCAACAAGTGGAAGTATGAAAGATAACAGCTCATTTTTCAGTTTCCCCTCACCATTCTGCTTGTCATAATTTTTAAAAAACAAAAATCCAATTTCCAAATATCAAGTCTTCATGTACTCAGATCATCTTGAAGTGAAGCTAACTAAGCTGTACTGATAGAAAAAAGCATAAAACTATTAATATTTGAGTAAGAATCATTTGCATGTTGGGATTTTATACTGGAGGCTAAATAATAAGCAACCCCAACCCTGCCCTGATATTGCTATTTTTTTAGATATCATTTGTTCCTCAAGCATTATTGTAATCCTTTTTGCACAATTTAAATTAAGTCTTCAAATGCTACTTAGCTTGACTCATGTTCCTGGGAATGAATTCACAAATCTTAAATGAAAATTCTGTATTATCACCAATTTAATTTAAAAAAAATTATAAATTCATTAGATAAACATTACAATAAACAATAAGACAGACTTAATAGTTGAGAGTTTGTTTGTTTGTTGGGTTTAAATTAAATTAAATGCTAAATTACCTTTTAATTTCGCTATACCTCACATTTTTCAATTAACAGACTAACTACTGATTGACAAAACAGTCAGCTTTCTACCAAAGATGAGTTTCAGTTAAGGAGGATACAAACAAATGCATGGACTCCAGATCTACGGTAGTCTTGCCAACTAAAATCAGTACTGAAGCAAATGAAAAATCTTAAGAACAGTAACCTTTAAGTTTTACACTATAAAACCTTGACATAGGTTTTCACAAATCACTGAATTAGAGCAACCATGTCTCTCTCTCTATATATACGACTATATGTGTGAATACATACACTGCATGTATTACGTGACTGCACTCCTCTCTGATGCAGAAAAGTGTCAATATACAGATGCCAAGATGAACACTGATGGTACCGCAGAATACATTATAGCGTTCAAGACACAAGCCAACTATAAACCTTAAGCATCCAAAGTACAGTTTTACTTAAAGACAACTGTATCACCCCAAAACCTTACTTGCAGTAGGAACAAAGGAACAGTAATTAAAAAAATAAGAAGTAAAAAGCTTCTGACAAAGTCTGAGGAAACGTCAGGTTACCTGAATTGAACTGATGGAACACAAAGTATGGAACAGTACTTCATGAAGAGATGATTTAGAAAAAAGGGCATTTTCAGGATAAAAAAAAAACCAAACAAAAATAGAATCACAGGATGGTTAGAGATTGGAAGGGACCTCTAAAGGCCATCTGGTGCAACTCCTCTGCTCAAGCAGAGCCACCCACAACCAGTTGCCCACAACTGTCCAGATGGCTTTTGAGTATCTCCAAGGATGGAGACTCCACAATCTCCCTGGACAACCTGTGCCAGTGCTCAGTCACCCTCACAGTGAAAAAGTGTTTCCTGATGTTCAGAGGGAACCTCTGTTTCAGGTTGTACCCATTGCCTCCTGTCCTGTCACTGGGCACCACTGAGCAGAGCCTGGCTCAGTGTCGTCTCTGCACCCTCCCTTCAGGTATTGATATACACTGATGAGATCCCCCTGAGCCTTCTCTTCTCCAGGCTGAACAGCCCCAGCTCTCTCAGTTTCTCTCCTCATAAAATGGTTAGAGTTGGAAGGGACTTTCGAGATAATCTAATTCCAACCCCCCTACGATGGGCAGGGACACCTTCCACTCGACTAGGTTGCTCAAAGCCCCATCCAACCTGGCCTTGAACGCTTCCATGGATGGGACAATGCTCCATCCTCCATCCTTTCATCATCTTCATAGCCCTTCACTGCAATTTCTCCAGTATGTCCATGTCTTTCTTTTACTGGGGAGCCCAGAACCGAGCACAGGACTCCAGGTGTTGCCTCACCAGTGCTATTCAGCTGTTCAGAGGGGAAGGATCACCTCCCTTGACCTGCTGGCAACATTCCCTCTAATGCAGCCTAGGACACCATTAGCCGCCTTTCCCGCAAGGCCACATTGCTGGCTCGTGTTCAACTTGGTGTCCACCAGGACCCCCAGGTCCTTTTCTGCCAACTGCTTTCCAGCTGCGTGGCCTGTCCAGCATGGCCTGGTGCCTGGGGTTGTTCTCCCCAGCTGCAGGACTTAACACTCCCCTTTGCTGCAGTGCCTTTCCTTCATTTATAACTTCTGAAAATCTTAATGTGTTCTGATGATGTTAACTAATATTGTAGTGCTCACAATAGTCCGTACCAGAGTCACAGGCTGAGAATCTGTGAGAAAGAAGCCATCTCCTAAGTGGGAAACAAAAGGGGACAGAAACAGTCCAGAAGATGGAAAATTTGTATTATCAGAGAGAGGGGTGCCAAAGCAGAGGAAGCTGAGGAGCAGAAGGAAAGACACGTTTTAAGTGCAAGACAAAGACCACAACTGTGTTTAGGAACCACTGGTTCGTTTGTTGATTTGTTTTAAAAACACAAATCAAATGAATTTCAGTGGAGTTGGCCAGAATTGTTCCCCTAAGGCAAAACAATTTGTGTAAATCTGTATATACAACTTGCAATATGATTAAATTTATTACAGTTATAAGACTTTCCATGCAAAGTATCTATTAAATGTGTATCCAAAAACATTATTACAATATTTGGAAAAAAATAATCGTCTGTAAAGCTGTTGTATCTCTCTGCATAAATCTTCAAACAACTTTATACTCAAAAAAAATATTATTTAAGAAATACATTTTTATTAAACTTTGCCTATTTCTATCCAAGTTAACAAAACTCTAAAAACCAAGAGTTTTTTCCAGGTATGCTGTGCCTAACAAAACAGTTACACGCTGTACTGTAAATACATAACAGAATCACAAGAAAAGAAAATAATCTTTTCTTTGGCACTTGTTACTGACAAACATTTTACCAACGCCCTTAACTTCTTAAAATAAAGAAAAGCACATAAAAGTAACATTATAAAGGTCAAATGAAAGCATCTGGAAGGGTGACTGAATTTAATACAATTCCCACAACAAAAATCCCACACAAGAAGCTATGCAAAACATTTTCAGCTCATGTAAGCACAAAATGTAACTGAAATGAACTTTAATTTTATGCTGTCGTTACTTTACTGTGATTTAAAGTTGGGAGGGGTTTTTGTGTTTGCCTTAAAATTTTGTTTGATATTTTTAATAAATACTTGACATCAACTAGTAATTTATGTTCTTTTCAGAAAGATTTTTAAAATTCAGCCTCCTGCCCTTTAAAATCTCGTTCACTGTTTTTGCAAGATGCAGCATGTATAATAGTTTCCCTGTATAATATGTACTTATCTATGTCTGACAAGTTATCTGTATTTTTTAAAAAATTCATTTTCAATCAAATACAGAATTAACTGAAGAATAGGCAGAATAATTGTAATTACCTGAACCACTCCCATGCATGAATCTAGAAATATTGATCCTTTAGGTTCTTTTGATATTTTTTCATCTTTGTAGAAATTGAGATTATAGGATCCATCACCAAGTTGGATTAAGTGGAAAAATCTTCTTTTAAATGACTAGGAAGAAAGGAGGAAAGAAAAATAATTACAACACTAGTATTAATCAGCTTCATATTACAAAACCCATAAGTGCTATTTACATGGTAGGTTATGGAAGGAAGCTTTTCTTTACACATAACCTAATTAGTATCCTCAGAAAACAAAACAGAAATCATTATTTTAAAAAAATTAACTTAAAAAACTGCAGCAAGATTGTACTGTATTATTTGAAAGTATTTTTGACCCACTGACAGGTATTTAAAACTGACTCTACAATATTATACATAATAGGTATTTATTGCGATAACTGTAAAAATAACTTGTTTGTTTCTAAACAAAGAGGCAATACAAATAAAAACTCAAATTAGAATCACAAAATGGCTAGAGTTGGAAGGGATCTTAAAGATCATCTAGTTCCAAACCCCCTGCCATGGGCAGGGACACCTCCCACTAGACCAGGTTGCTCAAAGCCTCATCCAACCTGGCCTTGAACACTTCCACAGACCGGGAACCCACAACTTCCCTGGGCAACCTGTTCCAGTGTCTCACCACCCTCAGAGTGAAAAATTTCTTCCTAATACCTAATCTGAATCTCCCCTCTTCCAGTTTGAAGCCATTACCCCTCGTCCTGTCACTACATGCCCTTGTAAAAGGTCCCTCTGCAATTTTCTTGTAGGTTCCCTTCAGATACTGGAAAGCTGCTATAAGGTCTCCCCGGAGCCTTCTCTTCTCCAGGCTGAACAACCTCAACTCTCTCAACCTGTCTTCATAGGAGAGGTGCTCTAACAGTCCCATCATCTTTGTCGCCCTCCTCTCGACCCTCTCCAACAGGTCCATGTCCTTCCTATGTTGAGGGCTCCAGAGCTGGATGCAATATTCCAGGTGGGGTCTCGCAAGAGCAGAGCAAAGGGGCAGAATGACCTCCCTTGACCATCTTTTGATGCAGCGCAGGAGATGGTTGGCCTTCTGTGCTGCGAATGCACGTTACTGGCTCATGTTGAGCTTCTCATCCAGCAACACGCCCAAGTACTTCTTCTCAGGACTGCTCTCAATCCATTCTCCACCCAGCCTGTATTTGTGCTTGGGATTGCCCTGGCCCACGTGCACGACCTTGCACTTGGGCTTATTAAACTTCATGAGGTTTGCACAGGGCCACCTCTCCAGCCTGTCCAGGTCCCTCTGGATGACATTCCTTCCCTCCAGCGTGTCAACCGCTCTGCTATTACATAGTTCCTTTTCTACTAATAACACACCAGGGTCCAGATAAGAAAATTATTTAAAACACTGGACTTCTGCCACATACTGGATTTTTAATGCGTCTTTTCTGATTTAAGTAGAATAGAAGTAAGATTTCACAGCTATAAATTACATACAAGTTTCCCTCTTTCATCCCACACTATTTTTATTTTTTTTTAGAATTAAACCACAAACAAATTGACTTCTCAAAGGCACAATGGTAGTTTAATATTGGTGTTCCGTTTTTACCACGCATAAGACACTCTTAAACTTACTCTCATTGTCACGCTGATTGCACTGTTCATATTGCCTTTGTACAACCATCCTTGTTTTGTTATTCCACCCTTCTGAGACCCAAGAGATGCTGCATCCTGCAGATGAAGAAAGGGAATGGGAAAAAAAAATTGTATCACAGTCTGAAACTGTTATATCTATTGACAATTTCAGAAGCCATTTTTAAAAGCTGGAATAGCTATCCTCACAACATAAGGATAAGAATGTATTATGATTCCCTGCTGAAATAGTATAGCTTTCTAATTCCAATTATTATATTTAAAGACCCAGATGAGACGGACCTCACCTAACTTCTGATAGGTAACTCGGGCATTCTCTGTGGCCAGCACGATGATCCAACTTCTAGATAGCTAAATATTAGTCAAGATAAATCCTACTGAAACAGGGGAAAGAAGGAAAACTCAAAACGTTTACTTTGTAAGCTTTTTCATATATTCTAATCTTCCAGTGCAAGAATTTTTACCAATTGCTATTACCAAATATAACAATGTAAACTTATGCCTATCCAAAACTCGATTTCTCAAACCATTTCACTTTATATGTATTACTTCAAAGACATTACTTAAGAATTTACAGAGAACTGTCTTGAATCCTTGAATTGGATCTGGCCTTTTACAGATAAGAATCAAAGCTTTCTAAACAGACCAAGCCCAAACTTGGCAATAACGGCAAGTTCACAAACAGCGGATCCAATGCATGCATCACACATCACGCTCACTGCCTGTACACCTCTTCCATCTGCCAGTTGATGGAACTTACTAACTATATCAAAACCCACAGGATGTTAACAGCTACCAAAAAGCAGTACTCTACCATCAAAACTGACCAAAATGACCAATAATTGCCACAGAACAAATATTAAGTCACCAGTTCGAGTAATCTTTTAGAGTGCTACCAAGTTGACTTTACCATGGTTTCCAGTTGAGGTAACCCATTTTGACACAACAAAAACATTAATGAATTAGACGTGTAGTAACATTTTCAACCACCTAGAGGAGAAATACTCCTGACAATTTATTATCCAAACATTCAAAATTAGCTGCGTATCCAGTTGAAAACAAACCCACAAAACTTCCTCAAGTGCCTCAACTACTTTTTCTAATTCCTTTTCTCAGCTACTAAGAGAACATAAACCAAAAAGTGATGACATATGGGGAACAGAGTCATTAGTTCAACAACTGAACATTAAAACCAAATTTTGGAATAATACGAATTAGTTTCTGGAACTAAATCAAGGAAAATTCTGTAAAAAGTTACTAGTTAATTTATTTATGCAAGCTAGACAGACTAAATAAGCTGTATTCATATGCATATACGCATGCAAACTTAAAAAAAAATGCAAACAGAATGGAAAAGATGCATCAATCTGTTCCTTCAAAAATCCTAGTCAGCTTGATACTACAGAAATTAGGTCAAGTAGGTGACATGGTCACCAACTACCAGAGCATCTGATATAATACCCCAGAAGCACAAACCAGAACTACTCAGTAAATTTTCATGTGCCCCAATGAGTCTTGCTATCCAAACGATACAGTCTACTTGTTTCATATTTTCAAGTCATTAGTCCTCACTCCTGTTCTGCTAGAAAACCATTTTTCTTGTACAACAATCAAGATACAGAGACAACAACTTAAAACACTGGGTTTCCAATTATGATTCTCCCCTTCCGCTGGTGGATGTTATACCCAATGAAAGGATGGTTTAAAAAAATCACTCTTACAAGTCTAAAATGATGAGTAGATGATGAGTTATCATCAAAACTTGGTACAGAACAACCACTGCTCTTCTGTAATTTCACAAACCTTACATGGAACTATCTGACATGACAAGAATTCCTTCATTATCCTCGTTAACAAAAATTAAGATTTAGCTCTATTAAGACTATTTTTTCCAATTAAAAGTCTCTGAAGTACACTGTTTCCCAACTGTGTTGTACAGCATGATGTTTCCTAACATAAAACTGATTGTAATTTGGACCTCTCTAGTTACATCATTTCTTTCTGTCAGGCAGAATTCCTGCCTACAGAGCCAAAAAGCTACTGAATCTTTCCAGCTGACCACCTGTTAATACAAAGGAATCCAGAACCCAGTCGTTAATACACAACTTTTACACTCAAAACATATTTCCTGTTTCCAACTGGTAAGTGAATTTCCTCACTTTTATTATTACTGCTGCACGCTGTGTTTCACTTTTTTTTTTTTTTAATGATTTTTCCCAGACACTCAGCTCCAAAATTTACTTCAACAGCAACTGTTTCAACAAAAACAATTTCTTATCTTGATTCTACACCCCAGGCTGATATAAAAATTCCATTTACAAACACCAACTTGATGACCTGATAACCCAAATTAGTTTTGGAAAGGTAATTCTCTCCTTTTTAATGGTGCAAGATTAAACTAATCTTTATCTGGTTTTCCTTCCTTTCTACCATTCCCTTAATAAATTATCTTTCTTTAAAAAAAAAGGGAACACAAAAGTGAAACAAAAAGAGAACCAAACAACTTTTAATAAAGGTGTTAAAATCTGACAGAAAACTCTCGCATTAACTCTTCCCCTGAGGAAAGAATTTATGCCCTGCCCCCCATTCTATTGCCATGAAGCTCCCTTTTCTTCCTAGCATGCTTTTTTCCAGTGTTTATATTTTAAGTTCCTCAACAAAGAGTAACAGACCTCTTCTCCATTGACTCTACCTCTGAAAGAGATATTACATTTCTGCCTGTTCTAACGGGAAACTGGGCAGAAGGAAACAGGAATTCCTCCCCACTTATACTTCCTAGTCAAAAACATACCACCTGATAATAGCCAAGCTATAGTTTTTCAGTGTTTAATTAACTCTAGCCATAAGTATTTTAACCAGTAATAATCATATTCAATTATATCTCCATCTAATTTTTTTTTTATGTTTAACTCAGTTTCCTAAAACACTTATGTTGTCTGAAATCTTATCATAGTAAATAATGCCAAGTATTTTTTATTACATTATAATATAAAATATAATTATTCCCACCTTACAAATAGGAATATCTGGATACAGATGCATGAAAATATTTGTCTAAATATCACAGTGCAGATTAATAGCAGTACTGGAGAAACAGCATCCTGAGACTATCTGTTCAGGAATCTACCTATTCAGATGCACTCCCTGGACTATTTTTTCATATTTAATTCAGAAAAACTTGTAACTAACTACTTTTATTTCATATGCTGTTGTTCTAAACACAAGGAATTTAGAAGCAAAGTAATAATCAAAGGGTAAAAACCCCCAAAAATCTTTTTATTTTAAATCTTCTCTGTGATGCAAGAGTTCAAGTACTTGTAAGAAAAGAACACACTGGCATTTAAATACTGTGTTTTGAAACAGGGTGTGGTAAAAATTAAACAAATCACACAAATAACAGAAGCAGTTAGTGAAAAAAGTCTTTGACATCTGAAACATACTTGAAAATAGCTTGAAGCTATAGATATCTCTGCTTTCCCTAAGCCAATGACAAAAAAGAAAGTACCTCAGAGTTTTAGTCAATTTTTTTTAGCTTTTGCTTCCAAAACAGATCTCCAGGTCTTATCCTATACTCAAATTTGTTACAAACAAATTTTAACTCACGCTATACTGTCGTGCATGCTTAAGTGCGTGTACTGTCATGTTGGAACAGATTCACCTATGATTTTACTTGACCTGATGATTAAACTGCAAGAAATACTTCTCTCTATACACCCGTCTATACAGAAACAGTGTAAGTCAAGACAGATTTTATGAAAGCTGAGGATTATACATCACCAAGTACTAAAACTTCAGTTTCACCATCTGTCAAATCTTGTTCTACTCACATGACAGATTTAAGGAGTACAAGGCTATTTGAAAGGAGGTAAGTAAAATAATTAATTTATTTTTTTTTCCCAAACAGGCCGTTCAAGCTAATCTCTGTTTTCATTTACTGACTTCAACCCTTAACCCAACTTGTAACCTCTCCTTACCCAACATTCTTTACTGAAAGCAACAGAAAGTAAGGAATTACTATTATCTCACCTCATCTTTATCTGCTTCTTCATCCACTTCATACAAGTGAACTGGAAGCTTCTCTGGTTTTGTCCCTTTACTATGAAAGAAAAAACTTCTAAAATACTGGAAATTTTGTGATTAGCTGCAAAAATAAAGATGTTATTTCCCTGCCTTAGGGTGAAAAAGCACAAGAATAACTGAGTAAAAGCATGTATTTCTCATGAAATGTTTTTCTTAGCCAGCAGTTTTCCTAATTTGCACATCTGGCCACAGCCTTTCTTTTTTTCTGCTTGTCACTGTTCTTATGTGTAACTGGAGAGAACCAAATGCTTTCTCATTCACTGCACTCCTAATATCTTAGGAGCCAGAATTCACATCTGTAGCCATTGGCTCCTTTTAAGACAATGCATTTATTTAAATTCCGATTGGCTAGCGTGGTTTCTGTTCAGTGCAAGTACAAACCAGCTACTGGCTTTTACAAAACTTGTGAATATACCAGAACTTTTCACAGGAAAATAAAGCTATTTCTTAACTCGTGGATGCAGGAGAGTAGGTAGGGAAGACATAGGCCTTCCAGAGTTATGGGATTCAGAGTATTCAGCCACTCTCAGATATCGAAAGAGTTGGAAAAGATTTCTCTAGCAGATTTAGAAAGTCTGTAATAGATGTGGACTAGGCTTTTGCTTTGAATCAGCCTGTGAAAATCTGTGCTAGTTCAAACACTTGCTCTAACCATTTCAGTTAGGTTCTATTTCCCAAGCTCCCAAAGAGAGTTCCAAAAGCTGCCTTTGAAGCTACAAAAACAGGATATCACCATTTTAGTTTCATCTAAACATTAGCCTGTTTTAGTTACAATACTTACATGCACATTGTTAATGATACAATTCCTTGTTTTGACCTGCCTATTAACAAGGCAGCGTTATTATGGTATCTTTCCAGAAAATGATTTAACAAGATTTTTTACCTTCAAATTCATCAGTATAAATTCCATCAAAGAAATCTTTTTCATCTCTATGGACTATTAAATATTGATATAGCATATTTCAAGTTACATACTACATGTATTAATACATTTTTATAATATACATTTATATTAAATACAGTTAGAGCTCCTTCACAAATTCAAATTATTTATTATACCACTAGATAACATACTTACTTTGGAAGCTGTCGAAACTCTCCTGAGTAATCTTCATATCTATAGTTAACAACATGCCAGTCTGAATTGTAGGTTTTAATGCACTGTTTCAATGAAAACCAAATATCAATATTAATTGGAAGAGGATTAACAGCATTCCCTAGACGCATACATACAAAAAAACCCCCCTTAAGATATGGCTGTTCATGAAGTATTATGGTTATATTTCAGTCTCTGAAAACTCTCTACACTTCCCTTCTTTGCAGTTACAGTCCAGTGCAATACAGTTTTTTTGCAACAAGTGATATGTTTCAATAGGATGTTATCATCTGCTAGACATGGATCTTATAAAACCAGAAAATGGTGAATACACTCAGCACCTGGATTAACCATCCTCAGCTGTCTGAAACGTTAAAGCAGCATTGAGCTGCAGCTGAAAACATGAGTGAGCCTTCAGAAAACTCAGCATTAAAATACAAATGAATTATTAAAATAGAATATTCAGTTTCGCACAGATACAGAGAAACTAAAAACATCTTTTCCTTAAATTTAGACTTCTAGTGCAATTAAATTAATATTTAAATTTAAATTACATGCTTCCAGCTGTTGAAAAGCAATTATGTGATTAAGCTCTGGACTAGATCACAGGAAATACCATTTTACTCCACCCATATTGCTACAACAATAAAAGTACTGATTTATCTAGGCTTTGACTGAAGTAACATAAAACTGACAAAATCTATTGACAGAAACCATATGGTACAAAATTTTGTATGTTACATGAATAGACTTACATGCACACAAACATAGCATCTAATAATTAAAAAATATTTTCTTTCTACTTCAATATGCAAAGTTAATACTTGCCAACCAAATGTTTCTGCAGCAACTCATTAAAACTTAATGAATTACCTATAACACCTCTATCTCCTTGTCTACCTTCTTCAAATCTATCTTAGAGCTGTTTAGGTTTGGGATTAATATCAGCTTAAAGTATATCAGCAGAAAACCAGTAGGTAGTATAAACAAAAAAAAGACAAAAAATCTAAACCTTTCATTCCTAAAAGGCTTCAACAAGACACTGAATGAAATGCAACATCCCAGTCAGAACCAAGGGAATGTCAATGTAAGCAAGTGGTTATAAGAAACTTTAGGTTTGAGGATTTTTCTTGTACATATAGCATACAAACAGAGCAGTTATAATGAATTTTGGCCTCTACAAGCACAGAGTTATGAATACCTCTGTTCCAGCAAACTGTACAAGATTAATATGAAAAAACTAAGAATGACTGGTGTGAAACACCTTATCAGGAAAAACAAGTCACAATGATTCACTCAGAGTTACTATTGCTCCCAATATTATGTATGGAAATCACCCATGTTCATTTGGGAAAGCCAAAAGCATAAAGAAGGTGGGGGAGAAGCATCTATAAAATCCAATCACACAAACAAAATATTTCAAAGCTATCCTGTAATCCTTCTTTTCCAGCAACCAATGGAAAAAATACTAAGTTTTCCTGGAAATTTTCCCTTGAAATCATTGACAACTAGATGGCAGGGCTTTTTTTCCTATTTCTAAAATGGTAAATGAAGCAGAAGAAAAACAATTCAGGTATAATGTTGCTATTACACACAGCCACAAGCAATTCCGGTATTACCTCAGTTACAAACAAGCTTTGAGCTTCCTTCTCTGCATTTTCAGGAACTGTTGAACGAATGTATCGACTCTGTCGTTTCAATAATGCTGTCTGATAAACAACAAAAACAATTAATGAAACTTGCAACTAAAGGAAGATGACACATAATGGCAAGAAAAGTAACAAACCCACACCAAAACAAAAAGAGTAGTTCAACTGCAGATCTCAGCTGTCAAAAAATGAGACTTGCACTGTTAAACTGAAGATTTAGAAAGAAGGCCTGGATCACTGAAGTATACACTTCAGCCTGTCAAGTCAGAACTTACCCATATCTATGCTAGAGGTCAGAGAGTCATAGAAAGGCTGCCGGAGAGCAGGAAAACTCTTTGTGACCATGAAATTCTGCTTCTCAGATGAACGCTAAAGCAAGCCTTAGGGTACTTCAAATTTGTAAGTGTAAAAGATGAAAACTACAAAATCTTCTGGACCACAAATGAAAACAACTACGCAGCAATAGAAATTATTCTACACCACGTGGAAAAGAATCTCACAACTTAGGTCATCAGAGATGGACAAGGGAGTTTGCACAGCCTGGACCTGGAAAGGGGTTATGATCCCTCACCTGTTAGCTTACTCCACACATCGCAGCACCAGGAAGGATCACAAAAACGTGAAAAGAAAAAAACTCCACATATTGATGGTCAAAAAGAAAGAGTACACAAGTACAATACCTTAACTTATCCCTGTTGAGAGTTTGTTCCATAAGGTGATTTCTGTCATTACCAAAGCCTCACCCCATTATCTGGGTGACTACTTCAAGTTAAGAGTATTCAAGCACAGTCAAGATTTAAAGAAAAAAACCCACCAACTTAGCCCATACTCATGGTCAAGTCATTCATCTAGTCCAGAACTCTGCTGAAAAGCAACAATGCTAACTGCTTGGGTGGGAGGGGTGGGTAGGTACTGAAAGCAAAAGCCACAAAAATCTTGCAATATACAGTTTAAAAAAAAAAACAAACCTGCAAGAAGATAATCATTCATATGTTAACAGCATTTAAGAATGAAGTTTTCTGATTTCTAGAAACACATGCCTTATTTTAAACCATACAGAGTTTAAAGTATTTGTTTTTACAAGCTACAGGAAAAAAGATTATTGAGAGCACTAAGCTACCTTAAAAGAGCTAAAGGCCAGAACGTCTAGATCCTCTTCTCAGCCTGAAATATTCTGATATTTGATAGCAAATATTCATATTTTCTCCATATGTATGCAGGTAGACTATGCTTTTTTAAAAATTTACTATTTTTTTTAAAAAAACCCAGAGACTAGGGTGGCATATTTCCAGGCACCTTTCCTGGCAAAGCCATGAACTCATGAATCAAGCCCTACCACTATAGTAGAACTTGGTAAAATTGAACTAGCAGTACATACTTCTTGAATGTCTGCTGCTGTTATCCTCCTACACAATTATCAATATAATAAGGGGGTTTTCTAGTCTTTCACATATAAAAGGTTTTTATCTTAGTACTGTAGCAAGATCACTAGTGACAAAACAGAAGAATTTAATTTGTCAATTTCATATCAGTAACTGTCTTAATGCATGCTGCCTCTTTCTCAGCTCATCCATCGGCTGCAGTTGTTCATCACATGCCAGGAAATGCAGTGAGTAGTATCTTCTGATTTAGAGAAAATTCCTAAAAATAATTACTAAAGCAACAGCACAACAATATTTTAAAGTGCAAGCATGCACATACATACATATTATATTCCAAAAGAAATATTAGGAAGGAAGGATTGTCTTCTCTACAAACTTTCTTCACAACTACATTGGTTAAACTGTTTCATAAAACTGAAATGTTTCAACTCTGGGTTTGAGTTACCCATGTCATTTATGTCAGCATCAGGAACTACAGAGCATTTGTCCCATGCTCTCAAAGAAGATATAAGAAAACCGTTCAATTACTGTTTGACAGTACAGTAGTTGAAAGCTTTTTTAACTTCTTTAGGTAAGAGAGCCTTTAACACTAGCCAGGATTCACACACACTACTGATGCACGCAATTCATAGAATCATAGAATGGTTTAGGTTGGAAAGGACCTTGAAGTTCATAAGAGTTCCAACCCCCCTGCCATAGAAAGGGACACCTCCCACTAGACCAGGTTGCCCAAGGCCACGTCCAGCCTGGCCTTGAACACCCCCCGGGATGGGGCCTCAACAACCTCTCTGGGCAACCTGTTCCAGTGCCTCACCACCCTCACAGTGAAAAATTTCTTCCTCATGTTTAATCTAAACCTGCCCTCTTCCAGTTTAAAGCCATTCCCCCTCGTCTGGTCACTACATGCCCTAGTAAAAAGTCCTTCCCCAGCTCTCCTGTAGGCCCCCTTCAGGGACTGGAAGGCCACAAGAAGATCTGCCTGGAGCCTTCTCTTCTCCAGCCTGAACAGCCCCAACTCTCTCAGCCTCTCCTCATAGGAGAGGTGCTCCAGCCCTCGGATCATCCTCGTGGCTCTCCTCTGGCCATGCTCCAGCAGGTCCATGTCCTTCTTATGTTGGGGACTCCAGACCTGGATGCAGTACTCCAGGTGGGGTCTCACGAGAGTGGAGTAGAGGGGCAGGATCAC